GAACAACCCCCATTTCGAAAAGGCTTTTTTGAAATATCTGTTTACCCTCCCTAAGTATGTATTTATTATGCCATAGTATCTCGCTCTTTACCTCAGAACTGTTTTTTGGTTCCTCCGTCTCACTTACCGTTGAATAATATGAAAGAGCATTCATATAGAAATCGGGGATTTTTTGTTTAAATAGGCGTACATCATATCTACATTGTAGAAGTAGATTAAGACCGCCAAAATGTTCAAAATATATTCGCGGAATCACTTTCCAGTGGCTAAGTTGGTCATCAAGGAATCGTTTAAGCCACATAATTTTTAGTGCTTTTTCCATCGATGTCATGTTCACCATACGAATGCCCCCCTGATCATAAGATCCGACCACAGTATTTCGCTTTATTTTATCCCGTTTCCCTTTCCACAAAAAATTATAAATCAAAGTATTCACCTTTGAAATGATGCTGTCGGGCGTAACAGTCATGGACATAGAATATACGATCTGTGAAACTGCAAGGGATTTGATTATCATAATACGACCGTAAATGGTGAGATTTCGCTTACCCCAGAGGTTTAGAATCCTCTTCAACGATTCTATTTTCCGGTCAAAATTTATCGCCTTATTATGCTCTGGATCGTATGATACACTGATGCCTAAAAACTTACTTGGCCTCTTTACCCAAATACAGCCCCCAATATTCGGATTTACACCATCATGGTTGGCACCAACACTAAAACATTCGGTTTTTTCCTTATTAATTTTTAGGCCCGATAAATGATAAAAATTTTCGAAAATGCTTAAGGCAGCTTCAAGGGAATTTGCATCTTTGAGTATTAGAGACGTGTCATCGGCATACATAGTCAATTTCTGAGTGTGGCCATTTAGATCGATTTTCATCTTGCCTGATCTTAAGGGCAAGTACCTCAATACATATAACAAAAAGGGAGCAACTTAACGGATCTCCTTGACGGACACCCCTATGTACTTTAAACCACCCAGTAGAATGCCCGTTGTTCAGTACGCAGCTATTGATATCAGTGTAAAAGAGCTTAACCCAACGGATTAACTCATCGCCAAAATTAAAGTACCGCAACGCAAAATCAATAAAACTCCATTCAATACTGTCATATGCTTTTTCAAAGTCAATTAAAGAAATAATGCCTGGTATTTTCCTTTCTCTAGTATATACTAGTAAATCCTCCATAAATCGAATGTTTTCGCCAATCAGTCTTCCTTTGACAAAGGCAGTCTGATCGGGTTCAATAATCGCGCAGAGAACCGCTTCAATTCTCTTACTTACCACTTTAGAAACAATTTTATAATCTATATTTAACAATGAAATTGGACGCCAGTTTTTAAGCAGAGATAAATCCTTTCCCGATTTTTCAATCAAAGATATTACGCCCTGCCTTTGACTAACAGATAAGAGTCCAACTCTAAGTGAGAGGTTAAAACTGTCAACAACACCTGTCGAAATGTCGTTCCAAAATGCTTTATACCATTCGGCCGAAAGGCCATCACTCCCCGGTGTTTTGTTCGACTTAAACGTTGAGAGAACTTTAAAGCATTCTGCTTCAGTAAGTCTGAGTTCGCACGATGCCTTCTGCGCTTCAGATAGTTTACGCGACTGTAGATTATTAGTAAAAGTGTCAAAATCTTTGAAATCGGGCGAGACCTTTTCAGAATATAAATCTTGATAAAAGAGTTTAATTTCATTCAAAATACGAGTATCATTTTCGATACTTACTCCACCAATCGACAAATTTGTTATGTGTTTTTTCTCGTGGTTTGATTTTTCCAAATTAAAGAAAAAAGACGTACATCTTTCATTTTTTTCATACTGGTCAATTTTTGCTCGGATCAAATGACCTTCCGCCTTATAGATACACATTTTTTCAAGTTTGACTTTTGCTCTTTCATAGGCTTCACATACCGAAGAGATTAAGGTAGAGCCGTCACTTGCAATTAAAGATTCAAGATGTTCGATCTCCTTTAGTAACTCAAGTTCAGCTTTTCGATTTTCACGACATTTTAACTTTGAAAAATGTATTGTCTTTTCCTTAATTTTGAACTTCATGAATTCCCATAATTCGATCTTGCTGAGATCACGGTGCTCGTCACGTAATTTTGTTATGAGGCTTCGGATGCTTAAAGAGTACTCATCGTCTTGTAGCAAACTATTATTAAATTTCCAAAAACCCGTCCCCCTCATTTCTGTATCCAAACCAATATTAAGTCGTAATAATTTATGATCAGAAAGAATGGCAGGCTCGATAAAGCACTCACAATTCTTTTTGATCCTCCTGTCAACAAAAAACATATCAATCCTACTTTTAAATTTTGAATTTTTAAACTCATCCTTCGCAAAGGACTCATAAGTATATTGTACCGCAGAAGGGTTTAACGTTCTCCAGATATCAAAAAGATTAAAATCATGTATCATTGATCTCACGATACCGGCAGATTCGGATTCTTTATGTTTTGTCATTCCGTAGGAATATCTATCCGTATTAGGGTCGAGAATCATGTTACAATCACCTCCTATAATCAAAAAATCTGAAGCAAAGTTCGTTGAAGTGAAGCTTTTCAAAGAAAGTCTTATTTTCGTGACCATCGTTTGGCGCGTAGATATTCACAAAAGTATAAGAGTGAGTACCTATTTTACATTTAATGATAACATACCTACCTGACGAATGTGTATCGATATCCAAAATGTCATATCGCTGATGTTTAGAAAAAAGTATCGCGACTCCACGCTCGCTCCGTTTTTGACCATGCGCAAAATATATATCAGATCCCCATTCCCTTTTCCACATATTTTCATCGGCTATTGACGAATTGGTTTCTTGTAGAAAAACAACATCAAGTCTTTTTCTTTTCAGAAATAAGAAAATAGACGCCCTCTTTTTATTTTGTCTCAGTCCCTTCGTATTTAGGGACCCTAAATTTAAGTTACGGATAGGAGCAATATGGTTTCACGCAAGACTTAGCCATAAGACCGCGTAACACAGGCATACATACATTATACTTGCCCAGGTGGTCAAAACCCCGGAGGAATATCAGATAAAAGCATTTTATATTTTCTCGGTCTAGTGCATCTACAGATAGGATATAACACACTACCTCATACCTTACACAATAAAAACTCGTATATGTATTTGAGTTACTCACATAAATCCTGTTCAATACAAAAGACATGCACACACAAAAGGCATTCAGGTGCAACACACTCACGCACATCAAAGCACACATTATCGCACATAAATACATGGTATGATTTGCAAAGTCACAAAAACATACATTCACACCCAAACATACGAGACTCACAGAGTATTTAACAGAAACAATATTCATTTTCAAAATACAAAAAGAAGCCGCTTCAAAACCTTTGCATAGAAGTCCAGTCGTATGCGTACAGTAGCGGTAATAATTCAATATACAGTTTTAAAAAAAATGTGGTTTACAGAACATAAGTTATATACCCTTCTCAACCATTACTTAAATTCCTACAATAAATCACCCTGGCTGTTGGGAATAGTCAGTATAGTTACGCCCTGACTATCTAAAAAGATTATTTAAAGGGGCCTACAATTGAAACACTTTTATAAATGTTTGAATGTTTGATCGAGAAACACAAAATCGAAAAATGGCCCCATAAGTATTTGTAAGTAGTAAGCATTGTTTCGAAAAAAAGAAAACCTCTAGCTAGCTACTAGCCATCAGTTACATCCCTCTATTAATAAACCTTGGAATTTATAGATAGGTTTCGCCTTCGCACCCAAGAAACAGGTAACTCACAAAGCAACCCAATTAACAGGTTACTCAAAAGGCAATTCAAGAAACAGGTAACTCAAATGGCAACCCAAGAAACGGGTTACTCAAAAGGGTCTACATTTAAGAACGTATAGACATATTTTTGATACATGATTGAGATAAACAAGGTTGAGAAAGCTGCCCATAAATCACAATTAAGTAACCAGTGTTGTTTCAAGTAAAAAAAAGAAATCTAAGTTTACATATTGAAAAATATCAATAGGAGTATCATCACATAAGGTAAACCTAAAAAATACATGCTGCCAAAACATCAGTGGCTACATAAGACGCTAACATATTGTTATTGAAGAGGCTACCTTGCACAACCAGGTTATTGTTTTGACAGTGCATCTTTTACAGTACCAAAAATACTCGCTTCCATCATAAGTGGGTACTGGCAGATCATATAAATCTTTGACCATTTTCAATGATGTAACTATTCAAAATGCAACCCAAGAAACACGTTAATCAAAAGAGTCTACATTTAAGAACGTAATAAACATATTTTTGATACGTGATTGAGATACACAAGATTGAAAAGGCTGTCCAACGATTACTTGCTAAAACCATTGGACACATGATAAGGAAAAGAAGAGAATTATTTTAGTAACTACAAGTTTTAAGTCTCTCATTGGCCGATGCCGGCTGGGCTGCTGTTTTAATTATTTATTGATTTTATATGATTGTAAAAAATTCAGCGTGAGACTCTAATAAATATATAACTAACTAACTAACTAACTAACTATTTATGGAAATATTTCATTGGAAATCTTGATGGGGCAATTAAGAAATGAAGAACTGGGAGAGGTAAGTATGGTTTGAGAAAGGGTCGATGGCAAATATACCAAGCCGGCTTTTTGAAAGTCAATTTATTATTTTATTATTTATTGCCTTCAAGTACTTCTGGATAATAAGGTACATGTAGCATCTACTAGTATTCATCTTTGAGTAGCTATAGAACACTGTGATAGAAGATCGACCATCGACTGTGTGGACCCCACTGTTTTCCTGGTCGGTGGTTGGTCTTTTTCATAAATCCCATTGCATAATTGCAATACATAACACAATTACACAACACCAGTGCGTTGAAAACAACCGCAATACAGTTGATTTGCCGACTGCTTCATTTTGACAGTTTAAAACATCGATCATTTTTTCAATAATCTTGGAAGATTCAAACTAAACAAAAAATGATATTTACAAACTTCTACTTTTGGTTTGCAAAACTCATCGAAGAATTGCGGGTCAACGTCAATGTCAATATCCCCACTTCTTCCAGACTGTGGCTTCTTCCCTCTGTTGGCCGCTAGTGCCGCCCAGTATCCGTAAGGTGCTTGATCAAAGATTCTGTTCAACTCGGCGACACGAACGCCAGTTGATGTCTTCAATAGACAAGCTGCATAGATGGCGAGTAGCAGAAAACCTTTCATTCTGGATAGTTTGAGGAAAATCTTCTGCGAAGTAATGAGACATTAAAAGGAAAACATTGTTAATGTTAAGCAATTATAGTTTGTACTAGATAGTATCTGTATGAGATCTTGTTGAAAGATTTGACGTTTGAAAGATAATTGGACACATATTGTCTGAGTAATGACACTCATACTTCACGTTTGAAAGATAATTGGACACATATTGTCTGAGTAATGACACTCATACTTCACAAAATTAACATAAAAACAAAACTGAAATACATGACACGCAGACAAGCTATTTTTGACTTTGATTGACAGATGCTATCACCTGATAGCTGACACTTATAAACACTATGAAACACTTCTCCATTCATAATTCTGATACCAATCTGATCTTTCAGCCTTCAACCAAAAATCTTCAAGATGGATGCTATGTTTTCGCAGGATTGTGTTTCTCAAGGGACAATGACAAAAGTTTGTGTTGTGCTGTCTCAAGAATTCAGACATATCTGAAGACATATCTGAAGTTTATCTATTTGAAAGTATTTGAAAATTGGACCAAATCATTTGTAGGCAGACTCTCGTTTTGGTATTTCACAAACCTGAAATGAAATTAGCCAGGATCAAGATACCAGCTCCTGTCAGATTAATACGGGAGCTGTTTCTATCTTAGGATATCAAGTTACATTATCCTACCACACGTATATATGCCCTATGGTGTCTGTGTGAGATATGTAATTCAAATGGAATGAACCTAGTTAGGTAAGCTATTTTGCCCAAACGATAGAAAGGTATTAAACTAAAACATTTATGTTTGCGAAATGTGAATATGCATGTATGAAAATGGTATGGTGTAATAATCTTTAATGAGCGATTGTTACGTGACTTTTTGATAGAATTTTTCATTGAAAATAATATCAAAACTGATTTAATTCAAATTCTCATAATAATACTTTATACTATGGGTCTATGGCACACTGTGAGGTTAAAGAAAAAATTCAAATATATTTTGTTAAGATTTCAGGATTGTAGACACTATGAACGAAATGAATAACTTACCTGAAGTTCGCACTGTTGAAGACGATCTGAAGCCCACCGACCTCAACTTATATACTAGATTTCTCTTGGAAAACACTTATTGTGGTCAATCCTAATTTCTCGCGTCTATGTCTAATTATATTGATATTAGTCTCCCGTTTCCTTACCCTTATATACACTTATTGAATGTAGACTACATGCTTCACACTTGCTTGAATTATTACTCGCTGATCTCACACATTTTCACTCAGCTTCACATTTGACATACTATTTTTTCGTATGGGTGGTGAAGAATTAATTAAGCATTGTATGTGGCTTCTCATTAACGACTAGTCATTCGATATTGTGGTAAGTCATTAAAATACATGCGGACATAGACATCACGTACATGTATAGTGTAATTGACTTGGCGGAGGTTACTTACGTTCAAAGCCATCAAAGAAGCTTGATACTCGAGTAAGGCAGAGGTGTGTAGAAATATGAGAGATCGGTAAAACAAAAAAAGACGAGAAAAGTAACACATGAGAAACATGTAAATGGCAAAAAAATAAAAATAAAACATATTTCTAATCAGCTGTTTTTAAATAACAAAACTTCGTTATGCAGTAGGAAAATGAGAGATTGAATCACGTGTGTGAAAGCCCAACTGTTCTAGGCTAACCCAATGTTCAGACTCTTGCCTATAAAATTATTCTGACAACCCAAGTGTTCCGAGTTCACTTATTTTATCAGATCTGAATAGTCACATGGGATCGAGAACAAAGTATTTTTCTGGAAAATGTACTTTTTTAGCCCGAATATCTCAGTCTCTTTTGAAAATGTGAACCCAGTTTTTGAAAATGTGGGCTCATTTTTTTAAATTGAGACCATATTTTCAAAAAGGCCATTCCTCAACGGATACTCTCGGCCTGCTGGTGCACATAAATTAATGAATTATTAATGAATAATTTTCAAGTGCTACTATATTATTGGAAAATACGCGAAATATAATGGCTACGAAATTCCAAATACTTCAGATTTGCAAAATAAAATATTTGCAAAGTTTCCGAGAATTCATTTCATTCATTGTTCGTCTAGTGCTGGGCAATCTTTGAATTTATTCCATCATAATGAACCTCCCAACAACATTGCTTCAGATTAAACCAAAACACGCTGTTATACCATGACAATTACGTCAAGGCGATTTGCTAAATTTTGCGGTGACGATAAAAAAAATGGCGGATGGGAAAGACAGCATGTCCTCTCTCTCGCGTGTAGGTAAGATTCAGAGGTAAGATTTCCTTTTAAACTAGTTCCATTCGGTGACGTATATATGGATGGTTATAAGGACCGCAAATTCTTGCAATTCTTGCAATTCATAAAGTTCTTCACCATTTTGAGCACGTTCAATAACGCAAATGCGAGTAGGTAGTTACCAGTTTCACCACCAGGTGGCTCGCTCGGGTCAGATAGCATGGCGGGTATAGTAGAAAGTTCCCTTTAACTTAAATTACTTCTATTTTAGTGGTTCAATTTTCATATAACCCTTATGTATCTAATTGTTATGTAAATTAAAAAATGTCCAGTAAAAGAAAATGTTATCTGTCCAATACAAGAAAAGATATTTCACTTTTTGTGATTTTGTAACATGGGGTCTATGGGGAATCAACCCGTACTAGAAGTCACATTTTCAAAAATATTAAATTTTCAAAGTTGATTAACAATTTTCGAAACCATATTTGTAGATGTACTTTTACATGTAGATTTCAAATATGACATCACTTTGACTGAATTTTGAATATTAAATGACGTAAATCAAGATTATTTCTACTCGCATCTAGTCTATTGATTTTGGTCAAAATTGTTTGACCTCCCCCTTTGAAGTTTTTAAAAACTGCCCCCCTCCCTCCCCATCAAAGTGGGAATGTATGCAGTGGGGCTAATAACTACCTTGTATTTGGTTGATGCTTTTTGGAGGACTATCCAACTTGAATTTATGAGAAATTATGAGAAGTCCCAAATCTGGTCATACTCCAGATTTTCAATATCATATAAGCCTGATCTAGTTCAAATATCAAAACATTTTGTCAACTATAAAGTAGTTTAATTCGATGAAAACTAAAAATATCGAAATCGTTTTTTTATTGTTCATTTACATTCAGCTATCTAGTTATGTGGTTTCGATTCTACCTGATCCTCGAAACACATGCGTGGTGAGTTATTGCTAAACCAACAACCAGATCGAGGATGTAAATTATTCATGAACAATTAAACAATCATAAACTATAAACCTCAATAATACCACCAAAAAAGTAAAACAATATGGAAATAGAAAGAAACTAAAAAATTTCAAAAAATCATAATCGCCTCCCTCTATTAAATTGTATCTAGAATACAAACAAACATTCAAGAATGAAACATAGGACTCTTAAATCTATTCAGAAATAACGTATTATTCCTGTTTAATTGTAATTTATGGAAATGTTTCTTTTTATTTATACTAACGTTGGCTGGTGAAATTATTACCCATTCTCAAAAACACAGGCTAGAAATTCGTGGCAAGTTGTGGTCTTTCAAAGAAACTACAACAAGAGCATTTGAAATCAATAGATTTGCTTTATTGAACGACAAAGAAAATATAGAAAGTACTATTTATTCCTTATTTCTTTAATCCACGTTAATTACATTGTTTGTTATCTCGCTATTGTGGAGTGTTCATGGCAAGGAGATAATAGTATTTGGAGGAAAGTTTACACAGCCGTGTGGTTGGAATATAGCTTCGTTGAAATGTCATTCGTATCTGTTTCATCAGTATATTTTGTTTGAATAAAACATGATTTGAGTAGGCCTATTTATATTGTGAATTTATTGCATGTTGGTTTGCTTATTACAGCCTGCTATATTTCATTTATTATTCTTTATGTATCATATCATGCTATTAAAAGTTACTTTTATTTACTTTTTGAAGCATGGTCAGCTTAAACAAAACACATGCGTGCTAAAAATGTTTAGAATTTTCTTAGAACTATATTCACACATTATAACCACAATGATGAGTAGCTCATTAAAATGTCATGAAACGTTTAAAATACATGAGGTTGCAAGCAAGATCCAAGAGGTCATATTGGATTTTAAATAAATTACATTACAATGATAGTATCTATTGCATTGCTTGTTTTATAATTAAAGCAAATGTCTAAAAAGCAGCTCAACAACAATGACAATGTTTTCATTATGTTTGCCCCAATTTACTCAACCCTAGCATTTCAGACATCTTTGGTATAACGTTTTAGGAAAATGTGCTGATCATGAGTTTATCACTTTCAAGACGTCTTGGATGAAACGTTTTAGAAAAAATTGTGCTGAGTTTATCACCTTCAAGACGTCTTGGATGAAACGTTTTAGAAAAAATTGTGCTGAGTTTATCACCTTCAAGACGTCTTGGATGAAACGTTTTAGAAAAAATTGTGCTGAGTTTATCACCTTCAAGACGTCTTGGATGAAACGTTTTAGAAAAAATTGTGCTGAGTTTATCACCTTCAAGACGTCTTGGATGAAACGTTTTTGAAAAAATTGTGCTGAGTTTATCACCTTCAAGACGTCTTGGATGAAACGTTTTAGAAAAAATTGTGCTGAGTTTATCACCTTCAAGACGTCTTGGATGAAACGTTTTAGAAAAAATTGTGCTGAGTTTATCACCTTCAAGACGTCTTGGATGAAACGTTTTAGAAAAAAATATGCTGAGTTTATCACCTTCAAGACGTCTTGGATGAAACGTTTTAGAAAAAATTGTGCTGAGTTTATCACCTTCAAGACGTCTTGGATGAAACGTTTTAGAAAAGATTATGCTGAGTTTATCACCTTCAAGACGTCTTGGATGAAACGTTTTAGAAAAAATTATGCTGAGTTTATCACCTTCAAGACGTCTTGGATGAAACGTTTTAGAAAAAATTGTGCTGAGTTTATCACCTTCAAGACGTCTTGGATGAAACGTTTTAGAAAAAATTATGCTGAGTTTATCACCTTCAAGACGTCTTGGATGAAACATTTTAGAAAAAAATGTGCTGATTTTATCACCTTCAAGACGTCTTGGATGAAACGTTTTAGAAAAAATTATGCTGAGTTTGTCACCTTCAAGACGTCTTGGATGAAACGTTTTAGAAAAAATTATGCTGAGTTTATCACCTTCAAGACGTCTTGGATGAAACGTTTTAGAAAAAAATGTGCTGAGTTTATCACCTTCAAGACGTCTTGGATGAAACGTTTTAGAAAAAATTATGCTGAGTTTATCACCTTCAAGACGTCTTGGATGAAACTTTTTAGAAAAAATATATATTTGAGTTTATCACCTTCAAGACGTCTTGGATGAAACGTTTTAGAAAAAATTATGCTGAGTTTATCACCTTCAAGACGTCTTGGATGAAACATTTTAGAAAAAAATGTGCTGAGTTTATCACCTTCAAGACGTCTTGGATGAAACGTTTTAGAAAAAATTATGCTGAGTTTGTCACCTTCAAGACGTCTTGGATGAAACGTTTTAGAAAAAAATTATGCTGAGTTTATCACCTTCAAGACGTCTTGGATGAAACGTTTTAGAAAAAATATATATTTGAGTTTATCACCTCCAAGACGTCTTGGGTGAAGCGTTCTAGAAAAAATATGCTGAGTTTATCACCTTCTAGACGTATTGGGTGAAACGTTTTAGAAAAAAATATGCTGAGTTTATCACCTTCAAGGCGTCCTGGGTGGAACGTTTTAGAAAAAAATATGCTGAGTTTATCACCTTCAAGATTTCTTGGGTGAAAAGTTTCAGAAAAAATATGCTGAGAGGGTTATTAAGTTAACAAAGGCTCCTTTGACATTTTGTATTCCACAACAACAACCAAAAATACAACACCAATGTAACAATGAAGCGATACGTAATTCTTATAAATGTAGTGGTCCTTGTGATAAGTGCAGCCGATAAGTGCAGCGTTTGCCTTGATCATGTCAAAGATGATCTGACGGACCTGATGAGGATGGATATAAATTCCCTTCACGAGGCTAGATGTAGCAGTAAGTTTGCAAAAATACTGAAATTATATGAGCATATTTGGATGACATTTTTGAAAACTATGCGCGTTCAAGTCAAAAAAAAATTGCGCACATGTCAATAAAGTACGAGACTAACTGTAATAGAAAATGTATGGTGGACAATGATAACATTTTAAGTGAAATTTTAATGACTGTATTAAAGACTGTTATGAATGAACTTTTTCATTTCAGAGAAAAACATCGATAATTTTGATCAGCCAGGTTTCGCATTTTAGACAATTATATTGAATAATTCTTTCAACGACTTTTCTCCTTCCAAATAAATTAATTGCAATCAATGATCTTTCTCATTTCAGACAATTAAATATGTTGGCGATTAATTGCAATCAATGATCTTTCTCATTTCAGACAATTAAATATGTTGGCGATTAATTGCAATCAATGATCTTTCTCATTTCAGACAATAAAATATGAGGTGAGGTTTCACGTTCCATCCATGGCCTTCAGTCACTCCTTCAAATGCTTTTGCAGAGTATTCTACATTTATTTTTGACGCTGACGACAAGTACAGAATGACCATTGATGGCTATAGCGGAACCGCTGGTGACACTATGACACCCCGCTCTAAAATGAATTCGGAATTTTCGACACAAGATCAGGACAATGACAAACATGATGACCAAAGCTGTACATTATCTAGAGGCCCTGGATGACACAAAGCGTGAAGTGCTGTCTATGAAGCTCCCTTTTTGGAGTTTATAAGAAGGGATCCGTCATGCCTCGCATGGTCCAAATGGCCGTCAAAAATCGGAACACCAACAAACAGTTATTATTCTTATAAAGAAATGGCCATGAAGGTGTATCGCCTGTAAACTAAAAAAGAATTCATGATCAATTGAAGTGAACATAAAACATTACAAAAAATAAAGAAATACAAAACAGAAAAGAAGTGTGTTTACTCTGTATTCACTTGTCAGGTTTGGATTGAATTGAATAGTTTGCATTAAAATTGATGTGTTTATTTAAAACCTTGATTCAGGACCATACTTTATACTTAAAGTTCTGGGCATAAATGTTGGATAATATTTAAAGAAAAAAGAATCCAGTTGAGTTTTGCATCAATCCCCCCCCCTTCAAATTATCTATTTCCGTAACCAGCTAGAGGTGACACGCTCATCTTTCCAATGGTGTATTGTAGCCTTGGGCCGAATTGCGTCATTTATTTTAGCTTAAATATAGAGTCTAAACTAGCCTTTTGAAGCTCTCGTACCTAAGTTTACATTGATCCTTGTTTAAATAGCGCCGCATTTTAACTACACAGAGAAATCTCAACGAATACGATCAATAGCGTAACACGATATTATTGTAAGGTCACCGGTCTTACAACGAACACGATGTGCAATATGATGTTCCCAATAATGTAATTTTCAAATAACTGATATCCCAAATTGACCACCTTATCAGGAGAATTTGAAGTAATAGAATGTGTTAAAGAAAACTTCAAGTATTGGTATCAAAATTAATGAATATGAATAAAGAAAAATCAAAAAATCGTGTTTATAAAGTTATCAGTAAGCCGCATAAACTGTTTGTATGTTGAACAAAGCCAAGAGAGTTAATGCCATAAAAACAAGGCTTATTAGCAAGTTTTTTGTGCTTATGATTTCATAACTGTGTACTGTTTATCGATAACTAAAGACACGACGTGGTTAGACCTGTGTATTGCTATCAACTAGCTCTAATCTAATCGAACAATACTGTAGTCTAAAGAATTGGCTACCGAAAAACCAATAATTCAATTGATCCGACTCCATTAAAACTGGAGTGTGGAATTAAGTGTGAAATCCTGGTATATTTCATAGAAACATTGCTGTTGGATATGTGACAAAACAACAGGTAAGTCAGTAACGTTGTATTCAACTTTGTAACTGATGATAGTACTGTAGCTTTATATTCCAATGAGGAATAGGTCGACAGTACACTGTGAAACATTTACAACTTAACTAGCTAGTGTCATTTAGCAACAGCATTCTTTTTCAGAACATATCCAAAGATTGTAAACATTTTCACTTTTTCAAGATCTTACATGTGCAAGTCCATCAACAGGGGGGTAACTGTCAAAAAGGAATTACAAATCTACTATTTTCATTATTTTGAATATTTATATAGTCTATGGAACTGTTGTATCGATCATAACTTTGAAACGCTAATAGTATAAGCCCCTAGTGTGTGATAAGCTTTTGATTATGTATACTATTTAGCAATAAAGATACATAACACATTTGTTAAGTACCTGTAGATTTAAGGAGTTTACTTAACTAGGTCGTTACTATAGTTTCTATCAACGCTCTCTAGTGTACAGAGTAAATTGAAGTTAAATTAATACAACATTACAATTTAGGATGTGTCTATCCATGGTTAAAATAATGATAATGATATTGGTATTAAATGTTCAATTTATTATAGCATTGTGTAGTATTTGCAAATTAATACTCTTTGGCGACTCCAATGCGTAGATTAATGACTGTCCAAGGACATTGTTTCGTTATATCTTTCATTTTAAAATCCAATTTAGCTTATGTTTTGAAAGCATTCCCAGGAGAGAACCAAAGGGTTTAGGCCTAAAGTATAAAATATAGTTCACTGCTAGTAGTATTCCATTTATCATACATATGTTGAATACCAACTTTATTCCTATTTTTACGGTCAGTGAAATGATAAAGGCAGGGGATAATTATAAGAAAAGATATGTGGACATGTTTTCTTTATAAAAACAAAGAACGCATCTCAGTGATTGAACGGATGGATCATCTTCTTTCTCTCATTTGTTTGTGTATTTCCTCAGACGGAATTGTGAAGGGCCACTATTACAGTATTGACTGATTTAAAAATGTTATGTTGTGTGATTTTATTCGAGGTTTTTAAGCAAATACTTGATATGATGCAGATTTATGTAATTTATGTTATCGTTGTAACGGCAACTGTATTTTAAAATACTATTGAAATGAGCAGGTAATAGGATAATGCAACAAGTAGGTTTTCATGTTATCATTATGATGTATTATTTGCATTGATATAAAGCAAAATGAAATGGCGAACGTCTCACGTTGATCTATGAACACTGAACAGTATATGTGTTTCCATTCATCAGCCTTTGATAAACTTTTAACATATGATCATTTCATAGTTCATTCAGTCCCATTCAACAGTACGCAACCATAACTTTCCCATTGGATTAAGTGTTAAGGCATGTTAATGTTTGAATTGGTAATAACAGTATACAGTTTATAATATAGGTTTTGCTTTAATAAGATAAAAAATAATAATTTAAAATCACTTTATTGACAAATATATTCTGAATGCAGTCATATAGCATATTTTCGTTGCAAGTCAAACTCGAGAACCTATAGAGTGTATATAAGGTCTTAATTATGAGATCAATCTAATATTGTAATTTATATTTTCAGTATGGCGATACTTGAAGATAACAATCTACAAAAGTTGCTCGAGTTTGACACAAACTTGACGAATGTAATGGAACTGTACGTAGCCTGTGAGAATTCAACAACAATGGTACATGCTTCGCCACGTCAAACCACGAAGGATCTAAATCTCAACGATTTTGTTCGATAGTTCTCCATTCGTTGTTACAATATGAGCCAAGGGAAGTTCATGAGGCGGAGTAATAGCTGCTCAGCTATCGTGCCTCGTGAACCGTCATGGTTAAAATTAGAATACGAGGGAGGCCGTCATTTGATGTCAGATAGAGCATCAACGAGACACACCTTGGAAAGATGTCGGTCTGCTCGTCTGATCGATGTCAGTTCTCACTCAGTATCACAAATACGTCATCTCGCGGACACTTTACGCCGACTGGATATTAGTAATAGATCACTACGCGTCATCAGCAAAGATTTGATTAAAGAGTTTATCCATCTTGAAAAGTTGGACCTGGACAAAAATAACCTTACCGATAGCAGTTTTCCAGATGAATTTGAAAGACTAGAAAAGCTAGTGGAGTTAAACTTGGAGAACAACAAAATGCGACATTTGCCAAATGTACTGTTGAAATTGCGCCAACTGACAAGGCTTAATGTTGGCAGTAACAGACTAGAAGACATGCAGGGTATCGATAAGTTCAGGCGTTTGATATCACTTGTCATAGAAAACAATAAACTTGAAAATTCAACCCTCAAAGAAATATTCTCCTCTTTGAGAAGACTAGAAACAATATACGCAGGTAGCAACAATTTTACCGACGTGCCAATTGATATAAAATATTTGAAATTTCTTCAAGTTTTGGATGTGTCTAAGAATGCTTTAACTGCATTGCCAAATGAAGTCTTCAAGTTGCAGCATTTAGATGTGCTTAACGCGAGTGGGAATAAGATTACTAGGATCCCGACCATCAATATCAAGACGCGTGCAAAAAGAACGATAATGTGCGTTGATCTATCTGATAACGAGATTGTGAGATTTCCTGAGCATCTTCTTTACATGTCCGACAAACTTGATCTCACAGGGAACAAAATAAAAGTGGTTAATGGAAATGTTATCAGGAAGATGAAACTAGACGATGGGCAATCTTTGAAACTAGAAGGTAATCCCCTCAATTTCCCTCCTAAGGAAATCTGTGAATCTGGTCTAAGGTCAATGATGGAGTATTTCATCGAGAAGCAATGCATGAGTAAAGTCTACAGAGGTCTCAAAGTGCTCGTCTTGGGGGCGTATAATTCAGGGAAAACAAGCATGGTACAAACAATTGTTGATGAACAGCCTCGGTTAGTTCGGGAACAGGAACGAACAATTTCATGTGACATATACGAAGCAAGTATTACATTGACCAGTGAAGATGCACCAACCAAGGAACTCGATATTTCCTTATGGGATGTATCTGGCCATCCGTCATATACGTTTACGTCGTATCTCTTCCTCCACAGAGAGTCACTGATCTTGATAGTGTTTAACATGGAGGAATATGATTCAACAAAGTTTCATGAAATGATAGGACGCTGGATCGATTGGGTTTTAGCAAAGAACAACACGATTACTGCGATTCCAGTTGGAACCCATTCTGATTTGATTAGTGAAGACAAAGTTAAGAAGATCTGCGCTGAAGTGACTGGGCGAATATCTCAATATCTAACTAACTATACGAAGTCCATTCAGAAAGAGGTGAAGAAGATCGAGTCTCGAAGTAATATACCGCCATCTTTATCTGAACAGTTGAAATTGTACATGAATCTCCTTCGTGCCAAAACTAAAATCTATGAATCCACCATTGCCATAAGTTCATCAAATATGGATGGTTTTGACAATATGTGTAGAGCTATTGAGCAAATGGCTATAAAGGAACATTTTCCGAATATTCTGAAAGTGGTGCCGTCATTATGGGTCGAGGTGGCTAATTACATCGAGGAGAAGGGATACGCCATGCAAGTTGCCTACATGAAGTGGGACGAATATGTTGAGGAATGCAGTGAAAAGTTCGGAATGAGACACCTAATGCCAAATATCACACAATACTTACACGATAGTGGCAAGGTGCTGTGGTTTAGAGATAACCCAAACCTACAGGAGTATGTCTTCCTCAGACCTTCCTGGTTGATCGATGTTATAAAACAATTTATACGACACAATGTTGACGAATACATTGATTACAAAAACGATGATATGTTCAGATTCGCACTGAACGAACTGAAGTTCAATCAAGTAAAACGAGACTTGATAGAACAAGGCGTGGTTGAACGCGATCTCCTTAAATGCCTATGGGCTGGACTAGTGAACACAGAATCTAGCCAGGCTGTCCAAACAATTTTGTCTCTACTGGTGGAGAATTTTGAACTTGCATACCCGGTTGAAAATGCTAGGATAAAATCAGCAGCAGCAAGATCAGTAAAAAGTGACGTCACTGATCTTGATGAAAAAGAAGTTTTTGGATATGGCAAAGTGAGAATGGTGAAACTTGCTATCCCTTGGTGCATTCATGACTCTGAACCAGAGAAGTTCGTGCAAATCTGGGCGAACCTTAGCTACAGACCGGGACTTGTGTCGGTCTACAAGTTCCCACGTTATATCCCACCAGGCTTGTTCGAGCAAATCACTGTTCGAGCAAACTTTCCGAAACACAATCTACAATTTCAATTCCATTGGAAAGAAGGCGTCGTTGCAAAGGCGACGGCAAACGGGAAGCCTGTATTCGTAGTCATGCGTAGACTTCGTGACAGAGATGGCGGAACCCAACTACGTATAGATGTGAGGTTTGCCAACGCAGAGGAAGAAATAGAAGTTCAGCAACTGTGGACAGTAATGTTACCTTTACTAAAGGATTGCGAAGATGTGATTTCAAGGTTTACAGGTAAATTAACCAGCTCAGGACTTATACTAGTATTTTGAATTTCATATTCTCTTCCATGGGTTTGGCAACTCAAGTTCTCATTTATAATGCATATTAACAAATTGTTAATACCTGTATATGAGCAGACCCGTGAAACTGAAAAACGGTTACAATTTTCGTTTAGAGATCGATGATGAGCTAAGGCTACTATGGATTTTTGGTTTCAGCAACGTGACATGTAATTTATTTATCTATTTCAGTTAATGCACACTCCATGATACGTTTGGCAAATACGAAAAAGCTAGACTATTGCAACGTGCGAGACCGCATATTAATTTTGATAAAGATTGAGTTCCAATCTTAAATAAAAGTTACCAGTAAACATAGAATAGATTGACATGCGCGTAGTCTAACACAACTTACATTGCTCTTTATATTTACTTTATAGGAATTTGGTTAGTCAGATATGCGGAGTGCCCAGTATGTCGAGACCTGTCATTTTTAGGAGAATGGCTCACACCCAAAGAACTACAGAACATTCCTAAGAAGATATGCGAATGTTGTAAGAAGATGGTTAACACTGACTACCTGGTCCAGCCAAAGGAGAGGAAACAGGGTGAGGGGACAGATACAGAAATGTGTACTTTAAATTTAATTCTGAAACATCATCATTTACTCAATAAATGGAGCACACTACAGAAAATACTCTGCCCGATAAATCTGTTGATCCCAGCCGATTGAAATAAACTTTTGACAGTTTTGAATACACATATTATTTTACGAAAATTATTGTATATCAAACAGACTTTTCTATTCTTGTACTTTACTGGCATCATAAATTCATCATTCATCCAATCCAAACACCATACACTATATATTAAACATTGTGCCCAAGAAAGACTAGGTGTACCTTTAACAGAGGATTGGTTTTCAGGAATAATTGTACAAGGCCTTAATTATAAAGGCAAGCCTATTTGGAATAGGAATGGTCGTTTGTCGGTTAAAATTCAACAGAAAGAGGTTTTCTGTCTTTTCCATCATTCATGTCATTTCTAAATTGCTGTCATACAATTATCAATGACATCTTTTTACCCACTTTTATTGAGAATAACATTAATTCTTTACAGCCGAAGAACTCATGAAGTACATCAACGCCGTTGAGGCTAAAAGGAAGGCTGATGACACTTCACATATTCAAGAAGAAGAAGATGAGACAGACCTCTATCTTACACTTGACAACAGCGACTCTGATTCTAGCGGAGAAGATGTAGATGAAGAGAGTGTGCCTGAAAATGTTGTTAATACGTCAAGTGACAGTGCCTCCAATTTCAAACATTTCAACATAGAAGAAGACGATTACGGTGAATCTCGTGCTGGATATAATGCACATGCGCGTTTAGTTTCACCACAAGAAAGTTTCTTTGAGACTTCAAAAGGGGGATATTCAGACGGCACTGATTGTACGAGGCAAATAGAGAATTTATTTTTATGATTTTATCATTTCAACAGTTTACATGAATTGTATATATTTGCTCTATTAAATGGACTCGATCTCAAGAGTAAGGTTTCACTTCGAACCTGCTGAACGTCGACATAGGAGGGGAACTTCATTCCTGAGTGTGTTTCTAGTTTTTTAATAAAGTTCTTGCAAAAGTACTCTATAAAAAAATTTCACTCAGAATACCTACACTATTCATACATTGAGATCAAAAGTTATAATTAATAAGTCCTTGAGGAAAAAAAGTTATGGTTGTTAAAGTCACATGAGCCAGGGATAGGCGGAGCAGGCAAAAAAGGATATGTTTTGTTTGGATGTTCAAAATGTTTTTACTTGTCCTGTTTACTTTAATAACAGTATTTCAAGAGTATAGGTGTTCAAAATAGTGTCCATCGTGGTCTATACACCTCTGCTGTCTTACTTACCATTCCTCAAATATATGGGGGAACCCTTTTTGAAAATCTATTGCAATTAATCTTTGTATGGATGGCTTTTATCAACGTCATCTGATCCTCACTGGATTTCGTTCTTGGACGGCCTGATCTAGCATTGTCCTTACCATTTGTTCTACCATCAGTATAAATGTCTTAGTCTGTTTTGTAAATGGTTCTTTTGGCCATAGCCTACTTAAAAAACACCGTATGAATATCATCGTGTTTGTTTTCTTGAATTTCCCCGTTAAACATACATCCCAATACTACTGATTATTTGTAATTGCAAATCATCATCTTTTGCTGATTTTGCTGCCATTTCCACAAAAATAAAATTGACGCTGCCTTTCACAAAGTCCGATGTCATCAACCAATATAGGTCACTATGATACCATGAGTGATGTCATGAATCAAAGAAATTTCAACTATGATGTCATCATATGACATCCTATTGTTGACATGGGAACATTGGCTAGTTTTGTCCTTTCAAGGACACTTAAAAGTATGTTAAAGTTACCTCTAACCCATATTTTTTATCTAAATTTTCTTTTTTTCAATGCTGCTCTGCCTACCCCCAACTTGTGTTACTCTAGCAATCATAACTTTTTTCTTCAAGGACATATTCATTATTATTCAAGATTCAAATGTATGAATAGTGTACTGTAGGTATACTGAGTGAAAATTTCAGCCAGATTGATTGAGAAACAAAAAAATTAGAGTACTTTTGCAAGAACTTTATGAACGCCCTGTACATCTACAATTTTGTTGAATATGTAAATGTTCGTTTGAATGATCAAAAACTATTTGTACATTGCTTGTGAATAATAGTGCTAATGTGAATGATAGTGCTTAATTATGTGATTCATAGAGCAAGCTTTAATGTCTCAATAATGTAATGAAAGTTCCCATAATTGGGTTTTGGAATGATTGGATTTGCCACGGACAAGGGTTCATTTCAATTTTAGTTTATTTTTATTTTATTTTTTCTATTTGCTTATGTACCGTTTGTATCGTTAGTATATGGCGATATAAAAGTAAAGGGAAACGTATGCATCTGTTTTTGTATAGATGTTACGCATTGATTTTTAATAAAAATCACTTTAGTGAAACTAAAAAATTGATTTTCAAGCAATCTCTCTGGTATATCAGCATTATCAGTATTAAGGAGAGGGTGATATATTATGCTTGCCGTTGATTATATTGGACCGAGGCATTAGAAAGATGCTTCTCTCGCGAAGGTAAATAAAATCATAGGTAATCTAACTTTTAAGAAGACCATTGAAGTAGGCAATATCTCCTAAACTAGACAAGTGACATTGTTGAAATTTTGTACACACCAGAACAGAACTATGGTTCCCGAAGGTTTCAGTATAACTAGTCAACTGGTTCCGGACTGTGATCATTTACATTACATGCTCCAAATGGCCGCAATTGGTTATATTGAAACTTTCAGGAACTGTTCTAGTGTGAACAAATTTTCATTGATGTCACTTGTCTAGTTTAGGAGATATTGCCTACTTCAATGGTCTCCTTTTTTCCGGTCACCCTGTATGACAGTTTGCTTTGTCAATGTGGTGTATCAGTTTATTCAAATTATATCATCGAATGTTATTATTTTGGGTTTTGGCCCAGTACTCAATGCTTTTTGGGTGATTTATCACACCTTTCTAGTATGCTCTTTCGATGGAAAATAGGCTGAAGCTAACGTTTAAGGCTAGTTTACAAGAACCGAGTGATGCATGTAGAAATCATCTTGGATTTCCAAGGTATGATGATTTCATAGATGTGTAAAAATCACCTAGAGAGCATTTGGTCCGAATCATTGGTACTTCACACATTCATGTCGTCAAAACAGTTTTAATATTTCATCCGTAACGTCATTTAATTTCCAGTTTAGAGGTTATCCTATCTGCTCTAAATAACTTTCGTATTTTTGTTCATTTACATCGTTAGTCATATTCACCCATACAGATCGGCCAATATGAGAACCCGTGAGAACAGATGCGACAAATCTTTCTGATTTGAAATATATTCTAGGCCTATCAGTTATTTTCTAGTCTGCTAAAATCTCCGCATTATTCGTCTTAACAATGTCGGCGTTTTGAATATTTATTCCATGTTATCTATGAGGAAAAATGAATATTACCAGGGGCAATTGAAGGCGAAAGCAAGGTTTATACAAAATGTGATATGGTCTAAAAGTTTTATTGTTTGTTTTAAAAATTGGGCAGCTTTTTGACATTGATTCTCTCACATTTTCATATTAACATCGTAAAGTTAATCGCATACAATATGATAACAATCATCAATTAACTCTCCATGGCAAATGTCCAATGCCTACTAGTACAAAACAAAGAAAGAACTCTCCGTAGTAGCATTAAAGATTTACAAAATAACTGCTGGAATACATTTGAAATCCGACAGGTTTGTCGCATCAGTTCTCACAGATTGTTGCATTTTTGGCCAATTTGTATACAGGGTGTTGTTATAATCTTAATATTCACACTTAAAAACACAATACACGGTGTGTGTTCAAGAATAGATTGAACTGACTGCGTCACGCGTCTGACAGAACAGATCAGTAACGGTAGTCGGTGAGACGCAGTCATCGACAACACTGGTCTATATCAAGAACTATATAATTTATATAAATGTCGCAAAAGCAAAACTGTATGGCTGCAACCGCATCTCAGATTATCGTCTGATATTATATTAGGTTAATTATGGAGTCCTACTCCAGCCTAGTCATCAAATATAGATGCTACGAGATCTATGGCTGCCACTGTGCCCACTCCGGCCAATACACCACTCGCCACCTCTGCAGCCACACCGCCAGGATCACTCTTCAAATAAACAGTATAAACAATGTAATACTACATTTAAAAATGCACTTTAGCTAACATGGAATTAAGTCTTGCCTCAAGACTGTGTACCCCTCCCACCCCCTTCCCAACACAACACAACACTGTAGTTATATAAAGGATCCAGGGTCTTGAAGCAAGACTATATAGAATTGTGAATAAATTAATTGGGAACAACAATTTGTTACCAGTACTACATTGTGTATAATATGTAAAGTATGTTAATGACAATCAATTACCTCTTCTTTGATGGTTATAGTTTGTGGTCCAGACATGGCGAATGGATTTTCTGGGGGTGCAGAAAACTGCTGGGGAGCAGGTCGTCGAAGTGCTGCACTAGATGCCAGTGGAGCTGCGGGGCGTGCTTGGGGAACAGCACGAGGCTGTGGCGCAGCAACGGGATCTGGTATTTTCTCTTCTACTGTTGGCTCCGGGCGTTTTGGTGCAGGAGTCGATTTCGCCGGAGTAGCTTTGGGAGTTTCCTCCTTCTTCTCAACTGTAATATGATGGTGTTCCACTATCTGGGGTTTGTTTTGCTCGGCTGGTGCAGCGCCCCCAGGTGGAGGTGGGTAATAGTAAGGAGCACCTGGGGGTGCGGCGTATGGGTATCCATGTGGAGGTGGTGGATAATAAGGATAAGGATATGGATAAGGTTGGGCCGGGGGCTGTTGTGATTGTCCATCTGGTGGTGGGGCGCCTGGTTGGCCAGGGGGAGGCATGTAATACATTGGTTGTCCTGGTGGTGGTTGGTACGCGGGTTGGCCACCAGGTGGTGGTTGGTACGCGGGTTGGCCACCAGGTGGTGGCTGGTACGCAGGTTGGCCACCAGGTGGTGGTTGGTACGCGGGTTGGCCACCAGGAGGTGCTGGGTATTGACCCCCTGGAGGAGGTGGATAGTAAGGCTGCTGTCCACTATATTGTGGCGGTTGTGCACCAGGTGGAGCTGCGTATTGGGGCTGACTGGGTTGTCCGGGTGGCGGTGCTCCGGTCGTCGGAGGCTGACTCACTGGCGGTGCACTTGGTGCAGTTGCACCTAAAACAAAAAACATGGCCAACTATATTGGGTATGTTTCACTATCCCAACCTCTTTTAAATTAAAACACCAATAAAACGTGTTTATCCACCTTTCTGTGTGCAATCAAATATGTAAAAGTAATTTTCTCCATTAAGACTTAAAGGTCCACTTTACTTGATTTAGAAGAAAAAAGAAAAACATAATCATTGAAACATGTTACTCACACACTCGCTCAAATATGAAACAAAGTTTGATTTGATTAATATTGAATCCCCAAAATAACTCACATAGAAAAAAGCATTTGAAGTTCAGAGATCATTAGATACACATGCACATGTTAACAAAGTGCATGTTTTAAATTACTTTTGATTTAAAAGATGGCGACACTTCTATACAATTGGTGTATCATATGTAATACAAACAACTTCTCCATCTTTCAACGACATCGATAAAACTTGATATATAAAGCTTGAGAGATCGAAAATACTTTTTGATTGATTAGTATAAGCTTTGATATGGTCCGTTTGAGCTGTTATTTGTGTCAAATGAAATATAAGGTCCTTATCAATACATTGGACATTCTATAAAAATCAAATGTAAGTGTTTATTTTGCCCAAAAATTGAAAATATGCAAAGTGAACAGACTCGTACACTAGCAGACAAGAATATCATTATAATACCTGAGGACAATAATAGAAACGTGGAGGTTCAAACAATTATGTACTAGGACTTTTGACTTAAACCTTGCATCAAATGCTGCATATCCTGAATACTAAGTTCCTCTGTACCGTAAACAAAATCCCCAGGAAAAATGTAAAATTGACTCAAAGGGATCGTAAAATGCCCCCTACCCCTGGGTACGCTCATGCTATGTGGTTCACATATGACGAAAGTGATCACGAAAATCACGTATGTGAATAGATAAACTAATGTGAGCACTTCAAATTCGATGGTCGATGTTTGCGTTCGGCGTTACGCTTTCGTTATTGCAACCATCTTCATTCACCAGGTTTTACTTGGCTTGAATCCTTTTCACACATTGCAATTTTTTCTATAAAATCATCTAAAAGGAACAAAATCACTGAAAGAACACATTTTCAATAAAAAATCTTTTGCAAGTGTCAAGTTGGCAAGTCATCAAATCCAATTTGAAAAATCCATTCATCATCATGACAACTGTTTAACTACTGACCTTGCGTGTGTTATTGATATTTCACACATTGTTCATTCTTTGAATACTCTGTTCGGATTGGCTGGAATCGGACACACCTTGTCTAGTTATGTGTGAATATGTTTAAAATTGTTCATGTTATAAATCTGGATAAAGTGATTACCTGGAGTTCCTTGGTACATTTTACGTTCTGCTTCTTTCCGCCTAGGTGTCAATAACTTAACTGAAAGTAAAGAAAATTAAAGCTTTCCGATGAAAATGATACGGGGTATTTCAGGATTCAGGTTTTCTCATCGGAGAGCTCTCGATTTGATATGGTTCAACATATACAGTCAAGTTTCATAAGATATTTAGAATAAATCTAGATATCTCTCAACATGATTCATAAATGTAATGTCGTTGTTTTCGAGGATTTTGAAGATTTGTAAAAATCGCCCCTAAGAGGGATACGTCCTGGATGTTGGGGTATTATCCCTCAATAACGGACATAACGGGACACGTGGTAGGTTCGATTTCACATCAACAGACACCTGTTGATGGGAAAGCCCATCAGACACCTTTTCGATATATAAAATGGTCAAACCAGTCAAAGGCCCAAAAGGTACCAAATGTTCAAATGTTCAGTTGGCACTGGAAGTTATTTGAAAGTGCAGGATGGCTCATAATAACCAACATTTCATCCCTTTATTATAACAAATGTATAGTCAATAAACGCTTCTTCAATGTTCCAAAACATTTGATCTCTATCATTATTCTCTTCATGCTTCCAATGCATTAATTTAATTCACTCACAATATTAACTGGAATTGTAATAATATAAGTAATATATAATTATATCATACGAAATGGTAATACGAACCTTAACGGCGATACCCGTATTGCTCTCTTGGGTCCACGATTTATTACTAATTATTACAGTTTGAAATTCAAATATTTCCTGATACTCGAAGTAAAAAATATTATTAATAAAGTTCTGTACTTTGGACCTAATTTTGTATACCTTGGTAAAAACCTAATGATATTAAACTTAGTGTAATGCCGAACCTCATTAATCAAGATATCGAGATTTAATTAGATTGTTCCAAAGTTCATTCAGTGCTAAATTTCAATATACGATGATTATGAATATATGATTCGTACAAATGCGCGGCAATATTAAGAAGGTTAATGTATCGTTGTAAAGAGAACTTAGCAATGCTTTGTTTTGTTAGGTGGAACATTAGTGGTGCTCTATGACAAACATGTGTTTGGATCAAAGATTAGAGCCAGTAGTGTTGTAATCTTAGCTAGTTTTAAAGTGCCAATTCGGTAATTTCCATTTATCTTTCTTTCCACAAATAGATTCAATGGGTATTGGTTGGTAGAAACAGTATACCAACAGAGTCACATCTTCATCTGATTGTCTTTCAGTGCCAAAATAAGATTTCCAGGAAAAATAACATGACGTCACGATCAGAACCCAATATAATCCCAATATCCTGAAGCTCATATAAGATAATCTCTATTTATTCCCTGGGCCGCAATTCTACACGTGCACGTACAAGTTCTCCTTAAAACGTGCTGTTTAACCTCCCAATGCTGTAACAATAGGAGGATTACATATACTGCCATCTTTATACTTCATTTGTAGTTTAACCTCTCAATGCTGTATCAATAGGATGATTGCACATATTGCCATCTTTATACTTCATTTGTAGTTTAACCTCCCAATGCTGTAACAATAGGATGATTCCACATTTGCCATCTTTATACTTCATTTGTAGTTTAACCTCTCAATGCTGTATCAATAGGATGATTGCAAATATTGCCATCTTTATACTTCATTTGTAGTTTAACCTCTCAATGCTGTATCAATAGGATGATTGCACATACTGCCATCTTTATACTTCATTTGTAGTTTAACCTCTCAATGCTGTATCAATAGGATGATTGCACATATTGCCATCTTTATACTTCATTTGTAGTTTAACCTCCCAATGCTGTAACAATAGGATGATTCCACATTTGCCATCTTTATACTTCATTTGTAGTTTAACCTCTCAATGCTGTATCAATAGGATGATTGCAAATATTGCCATCTTTATACTTCATTTGTAGTTTAACCTCTCAATGCTGTATCAATAGGATGATTGCACATATTGCCATCTTTATACTTCATTTGTAGTTTAACCACCCAATGCTGTATCAATAGGATAATTGCACATATTGCCATCTTTATACTTCATTTGTAGTTTAACCTCCCAATGCTGCATCAATAGGATGATTGCACATATTGCCCTCTTTATACTTCATTTGTAGTTTAACCTCCCGATGCTGCATCAATAAGATGATTCGACATAATGCAACCTATATACTTCATTTGTAGCTTAACCTCCCAATGCTGTATCAATAGGATAATTGCACATATTGCCATCTTTATACTTCATTTGTAGTTTAACCTCCCGATGCTGCATCAATAGGATGATTGCACATATTGCCATCTTTATAATTCATTCGTAGTTTAACCTCCCATTGCTATATCAATAGGATGATTCCACATATTGCCACCTTTATACTTCATTTGTAGTTTAACCTCCCAATCCTGTATCAATAGGATGATTGCACATATTGCCATCTTTATACTTCATTTGTAGTTTAACCTTCAAATGCTGTAATAATAGGATGATAGCACATATTGCCATCTTTATGCTTCATTTGTAGTTTAACCTCCCAATGCTGTATCAATAGGATGATTGCACATATTGCCATCTTTATACTTCATTCGTAGTTTAACCTCCCATTGCTGTAACAATAGGATGATTCGAAATATTGCCATCTTTATACTTCATTTGTAGTTTAACCTCCCAATCCTGTATCAATAGGATGATTGCACATATTGCCATCTTTATACTTCATTTGTAGTTTAACCTTCAAATGCTGTAATAATAGGATGATAGCACATATTGCCATCTTTATGCTTCATTTGTAGTTTAACCTCCCAATGCTGTATCAATAGGATGATTGCACATATTGCCATCTTTATACTTCATTTGTAGTTTAGCCTCCCATTGCTGTATCAATAGGATGATTGCACATATTGCCATCTTTATACTTCATTTGTAGTTTAACCTCCCAATGCTGTATCAATAGGATGATTGCACATATTGCCATCTTTATACTTCATTTGTAGTTTAGCCTCCCATTGCTGTATCAATAGGATGATTGCACATATTGCCATCTTTATACTTCATTTGTAGTTTAACCTCCCAATGCTGTATCAATAGGATGATTGCACATATTGCCATCTTTATACTTCATTCGTAGTTTAACCTCCCATTGCTGTAACAATAGGATGATTCGAAATATTGCCATCTTTATACTTCATTTGCAGTTTAAACCCTCAATGCTGTATCAATAGGATGATTGCACATATTGCCATCTTTGTACTTCATTTGTAGTTTAACCTCCCAATGCTGTATCAATAGGATGATTGCACATATTGCCATCTTTATACCTCATTTGTAGTTTAACCTCCCAATGCTGTATCAATAGGATGATTGGACATATTGCCATCTTTATACTTCATTTGCAGTTTAAACCCTCAATGCTGTATCAATAGGATAATTGCACATATTGCCATCTTTATACTTCATTTGCAGTTTAACCTCCCAATGCTGTATCAATAGGATGATTGCACATATTGCCATCTTTATACTTCATTCGTAGTTTTACCTCCCATTGCTATATCAATAGGATGATTGCACATATTGCCATCTTTATACTTCATTTGTAGTTTAACCTCCCAATGCTGTATCAATAGGATAATTGCACATATTGCCATCTTTATACTTCATTTGCAGTTTAAACCCTCAATGCTGTATCAATAGGATGATTGCACATATTGCCATCTTTATACTTCATTTGTAGTTTAGCCTCCCATTGCTGTATCAATAGGATAATTGCACATATTGCCATCTTTATACTTCATTTGCAGTTTAAACCCTCAATGCTGTATCAATAGGATGATTGCACATATTGCCATCTTTATACTTCATTTGTAGTTTAGCCTCCCATTGCTGTATCAATAGGATAATTGCACATATTGCCATCTTTATACTTCATTTGCAGTTTAAACCCTCAATGCTGTAACAATAGGATGATTGCACATATTGCCATCTTTATACTTCATTTGTAGTTTAACCTCCCAATGCTGTATCAATAGGATAATTGCACATATTGCCATCTTTATACTTCATTTGCAGTTTAAACCCTCAATGCTGTAACAATAGGATGATTGCACATATTGCCATCTTTATACCTCATTCGTAGTTCAACCTCCCAATGCTGTATCAATAGGATGATTGCACATATTGCCATCTTTATACTTCATTTGTAGTTTAAACCCTCAATGCTGTAACAATAGGATGATTGCACATATTGCCATCTTTATACTTCATTTGTAGTTTAACCTCCCAATGCTATATCAATAGGATAATTGCACATATTGCCATCTTTATACTTCATTTGTAGTTTAACCTCCCAATGCTGTTACAATAGGATGATTGCACATATTGCCATCTTTATACTTCATTTGTAGTTTAACCTCCCAATGCTGCATCAATAGGATGATTGGACATATTGCCATCTTTATACTTCATTTGTAGTTTAACCTCCCAATGCTGTAACAATAGGATGATTCCACATATTGCCATCTTTATACTTCATTTGTAGTTTAACCTCCCAATGCTGCATCAATAGGATGATTGCCCATCTTCATACTTCATTTGTAGTTTAACCTCCCAATGCTGTATCAATAGGATGATTGCACATATTGCCATCTTTATACTTCATTTGTAGTTTAACCTCCCAATACTGTATCAATAGGATGATTGCACATATTGCCATCTCTATACTGCATTTGTAGTTTAACCTCCCAATGCTGTATCAATAGGATGATTGCACATATTGCCATCTTTATACTTCATTTATAGTTTAACCTCCCAATGCTGCATCAATAGGATGATTGGACATATTGCCATCTTTATACTTCATTTGTAGTTTAACCTCCCGATGCTGTAACAATAGGATGATTACACATATTGCCATCTTTATACTTCATTTGTAGTTTAACCTCCCAATGCTGTATCAATAGGATGATTGCAGATATTGCCATCTTTATACTTCATTCGAAGTTTAACAACCCATTGCTATAACAATAGGATGATTCGAAATATTGCCATCTTTATACTTCATTTGTAGTTTAACCTCCCATTGCTATATCAATAGGATGATTTCACATATTGCCATCTTTATGCTTCATTTGTAGTTTAACCTCCCAATGCTGCATCAATAGGATGATTGGACATATTGCCATCTTTATACTTCATTCGTAGTTTAACCTCCCATTGCTGTAACAATAGGATGATTCGAAATATTGCCATCTTTATACTTCATTTGTAGTTTAACCTCCCATTGCTATATCAATAGGATGATTTCACATATTGCCATCTTTATACTTCATTTGTAGTTTAACCTCCCGATGCTGCATCAATAAGATGATTCGACATAATGCAACCTATATACTTCATTTGTAGTTTAACCTCCCATTGCTATATCAATAGGATGATTGCACATATTGCCATCTTTATACTTCATTTGTAGTTTAACCTCCCGATGCTGCATCAATAGGATGATTGCACATATTGTCATCTTTATAATTCATTCGTAGTTTAACCTCCCATTGCTATATCAATAGGATGATTCCACATATTGCCATCTTTATACTTCATTTGTAGTTTAACCTCCCAATGCTGCATCAATAGGATGCTTGCACATATTGCCATCTTTATACTTCATTCGTAGTTTAACCTCCCAATGCTGCATCAATAAGATGATTCGACATAATGCAACCTATATACTTCATTTGTAGTTTAACCTCCCATTGCTATATCAATAGGATGATTGGACATATTGCCATCTTTATACTTCATTCGCAGTTTAACCTCCCATTGCTATATCAATAGGATGATTGCACATATTGCCATCTTTATACTTCATTTGCAGTCTAAACCCTCAATGCTGTATCAATAGGATGATTGCACATATTGCCATCTTTATACTTCATTTGTAGTTTAACCTCCCAATACTGTATCAATAGGATGATTGCACATATTGCCATCTTTATACTTCATTTGTAGTTTAACCTCCCAATGCTGTAACAATAGGATGATTGCACATATTGCCATCTTTATACTCTATTCGTAGTTTAACCTCCCAATGCTGTAACAATAGGATGATTCGAAATATTGCCATCTTTATACTTCATTTGTAGTTTAACCTCCCAATGCTGTATCAATAGGATGATTGCAGATATTGCCATCTTTATACTTCATTTGTAGTTTAACTTCCCAATGCTGTATCAATAGGATGATTGCACATATTGCCATCTTTATACTTCATTTGTAGTTTAACCTCCCAATGCTGTATCAATAGGATGATTGCAGATATTGCCATCTTTATACTTCATTTGTAGTTTAACTTCCCAATGCTGTATCAATAGGATGATTGCACATATTGCCATCTTTATACTTCATTTGTAGTTTAACCTCCCAATGCTGTATCAATAGGATGATTGCACATATTGCCATCTTTATACTTCATTTGTAGTTTAACCTCCCAATGCTGTATCAATAGGATGATTGCACATATTGCCATCTTTATACTTCATTTGTAGTTTAACCTCCCAATGCTGTATCAATAGGATGATTGGACATATTTGCCATCTTTATACTTCCTTTGTAGGTTAACCTCCCGATGCTGTATCAATAGGATGATTGCAGATATTGCCATCTTTATACTTCATTTGTAGTTTAACCTCCCAATGCTGTATCAATAGGATGATTGCAGATATTGCCATCTTTATACTTCATTTGTAGGTTAACCTCCCAATGCTGTATCAATAGGATGATTGGACATATTGCCATCTTTATACTTCATTTGCAGTTTAACCTCCCAATGCTGTATCAATAGGATAATTGGACATATTGCCATCTTTATACTTCATTTGTAGTTTAACCTCCCAATGCTGTAACAATAGGATGATTCCACATATTGCCATCTTTATACTTCATTTGTAGTTTAACCTCCCAATGCTGCATCAATAGGATGATTGCCCATCTTCATACTTAATTTGTAGTTTAACCTCCCAATGCTGTATCAATAGGATGATTGGACATATTGCCATCTTTATACTTCATTTGTAGTTTAACATCCCAATGCTGTATCAATAGGATGATTGCACATATTGCCATTTATCCTACACTTAGTGTACTAAATGTATAATAACATTAAAAATAAATTTGATATTTATTGGGAAAATGTATATCCGGAGGATATCGTAACGATATAATCCGGGCGGAGGATATCGTGACGATATACTCCGGGCGGAGGATATCGTGACGATATACTCCGGAAAACCCAATACATGCGGAGGATATTCTGACGATATACTCCGCTTGTTGATTTCCCGCCAAATTGACTCTATTTGGCATGGAATTCATTTTGCAATGATATTATACATTTAATACACTCCTTGTAAGTGTAGGATAATAAGATCATCCTATGATTTTTTCAGAATATCATTTTAATCTACTCGGTGATATTGATAAATGCACTCGTTCGCTTCGCTCTCTCGTGCAGATATCAATATCACCTCGTAGATAAAAATAATATTCCTCAAAATCATAGGATATCTTATAAATTCATACTTCATTTGAAAAACATTCAGAGAATATCAATCCCGTATTGAGTGATAATTATCTCATTGAACAAAGTTCGGGGATATAAAGAATGGCTCCGTCCGTCCGGGTTTAAACTCGAATACCGTTGGACCAATATTGTAGATATTTTATATGCATGTCCCATGGGAGTACAAGTTCTGCTCGAAGGCCGATTTTCAAAATGGTTGCGTGTTTAAAAATAGCCGCCATTTTAGTGTCAATTTTACAGCATTTTAGGCACAAAATATAAAATTGTAATATTCTTACAATGATAAAAAATTCTATAATGGCTCTCGCCTGTTATTTGCTCGCAATCAATTTCTATAGACACAATATTAGTATCACATTACCCAGGTAACCATGGCAACGTTTGATCATGGTTAAATCAAAAAGTTCCGACTGAAAATGAACTTTTCCAAATGTGCCAAATATTCAGCCTTCAGAGGGGTACGCGGTATGTAGTGCTATTTTTACTTTTTTTATTTCTCATGTTATATATGTGGAAGACAGAAATGTTAAGTTTTTGAGGATGCTTTGTTGAATATGAATGTTGCCCTTGGTACTTTTGTTACGTTACCATAGAACCATAGAATGAAATGTTCCAGACTACACTTCTAATAACAATTAATACATTAAACTGTACATGTAAGAATGGTGGGTAGCGAATGGTGTAGTGTATGAAATAGTAACACCAGTAATGCTACTTTCTGAACACCCAGGAAATTATCCAATTTCAGTTTTTCGAGAAGTTACTAATTAAACTTTTTATTTTCCCTTGGTTGTGTGACGTGTATCATGATCAATATGCTGGTTCTCTATTAAACACTGGAAGAGAAGGCACGTATAATGACAAGAAATAACTTTATTTGTCTCAAATCATTACTAATTTCCTAAACCCCAAAACCGTAGACACACAACTTCATGTCGTAATAATGACCAACCATTTTGGCGAGTCGTTGATGAGAATGTTAGTTAGACGGGTGAGCTTATGAATGGTCAGACGATCTTTGACTTCCAGTGTTATAAGGCAGCTATTCTGCATTCTGTGGCTGACACAAATAGGTGTGAAATATGTTATGTTACACGTGTGATGTTCTTATATGTAGCCTTGAATTGTTTTTCACTTTTCTTGTCCAGTTTACAAGGCAATACCAGGCAAGGTTCATCAAGACAATGTCCTTTGAAAACGAGAGTGCGTGGCCATTCAGGTTTCTAAATAAATACAAAAATGATCATGAGCTTATATATGAAGAATTTGTATATTGTTATAATTCGAAGAATATTGGATGCATCCCATGAATCGATTAGTATCTACAGATTCACAGTATAGTATAGTGTCATAACTGCTTCATTATTCGTAAGTAATTAAGTTCCTTATACATTGTACGAATATTAATGTAACATTTACAAATAAAATGCCTAAATTACAAATAAGTATATGATGTAGCAAATGAACAAATAGGTCCTAAAATCGGGGACATTTAAGTTTGAAAGGACAAGAAATATTTTGTAACTAACAATTTATTGTTCGCTAACTACCGCGTATAATTCATCAATTTCAAATAAGCTGCCTGTTGTTTTATCAAAGAAATGGATTTTTACGAATATAACCTTGCATATTACCCATGAATTATTGCAGAAAGCAAATAAGTATTTGTACATTAGTGAATAACAAAATTAAACGTTACTAATATATGTTTATGTATATATGTATATGTGAGTTTACGAATACAAAATGTGTGTTAACGAATATAAACTGCAAGTCTCGAGGCATAGGTCACGTGACAAGATACTTTAAGTTGTGTTTGTAAGTGGATGGTGATGACTTGACCATGTCTCCTTAATAATGATCACGTGATCTCAATGAACCAATGAAAAACGAATATTCGTATGCAATTTACGAATTCAAATGACAATATTTACGAACAATAAATCTGCACTTTCACGACAACATATTACTTTGTTACGAAAATAAATTCGACAAAACAAAAATAATATGCCAAGGCTAGTACTTATTCAATATCCATTGTTATTTGACATTCAGTTCGTAAATATTAAATGTACAAATTCAATTTATGAATAATAATACAAATAATGAAGCAGAAAACATTCCATAATACACAGTCGATGTTATATTCTCATTCGTATGTTGAAGAAATCACCTAGCGTTATTTGATAAGATATATGACGTTAATCCATTTTAAGATATCATATTTTGGATGGTATAGAACGGAGAGGTTTATTAATAAATATATATCGGTTGGTCAACGTTCAAGATTTTACTTAATATCTGATGTGAATGGTGCCCATAAAAATAAATCCTATAACTGAGTTTAAGGCAGAATCAGATATACAGAGTGTACCAATACAGGGTGTGACAAAATTACAAGCAATATTTATGATTGACCTTGTAATGTGTTCATAACCATTCAAAATATAATATCTCCCAAAACATTGATCATAACTTATCAAATTAAAGTTATTAAAGGGAGTAGATGAGATGTAGAGACGAGTTGAGAGGTGAGTTTCAAAGAAATCGATCGATTAATCTCTTTTTCAATTCTAAATAAAATTCGAATTCAAAAGTAAGCATTGGCATATTTTATAAATATTACTCCCAACATTTGACACTCTCTATACCTTATTACTAATGCCTTTAGTTCTCCTAAAAATGAAATATTCCAAGATTCTGAAATTGAAACAATTTTTGGAATGGTTGCTCCATAGATGTGATTCTGCCTTAAAGTATTAAAATATATACTCCATTATTTTTAGGGTCTGCAAACATTCTCTGGCAACCACAGCACTTATTTCTCCATAGTCTGTTACATCTTGGCATACCTCGCGTGCAAGATTTATTATTTCCCCCTGAAAGCAATTTGATTTTATAATCCCAAACACATTTATATTAATGGATGTTAACATACATACACTGTATAAACCTTACAAAAATTGCAATATTGTTATTATATCAACACAACATTATAGAACGAAGACTACAATTGTAAAAAAAGTAAAAAGAAAGCTACAATTCGAGTGCTTAAAATGGAAGAATGACTGTCAACGGTGAAAGAAAAGGAATGTTCGAATAATGTACAAAATGAAAGCAAGAAATGTCTGGATTGGATAGGGGTTGGTTTGAATTGTTTATTTGCAATATTCATTCCTTCACGTCTAAGGGGTATGACGAGAGTGGGGAGAGAGTGACGTGTGTACTCCAGAATATTACGAATTCATTTATGTCTGAGAAGACAAATATTGCCAAGTGGGCCGCAAATAATATATGGTGTCAGATTGCATAATATGAGGGTCCAGCTAAACCTGATATTCCTAAACTTTCCGAGTGAAGTCTACAGGGTGGCCCCAAAACAAAACCCTCCAAAAATGAAATAATTTCTTTAAAACATACATAATCAGCTTCATATTTCGTTTTTCATTTAAAATGTTTATTCTTTGTCACGTCTAGTTTTCGTATGCAGGTAGAAAGACTCACAAATTGTCAACCAAAACACCTCATATGTTGAGTATTATAATCCATCACCAAACTTAACCATCGGAAATATATTAAAAAACTGGACATTATTCGACATTTAATATTACTAGTAATTGAACTTATGTAATTTTGTGAACAATATGGTATATCTTAGTTAATTATTACCTGGATTATGTATTTTTTCCGTACATACATCACCAAACCATCCATGGTCACAAAGGCAATCACCTTGACAAAATGCGAAAATGTTAAATGTTGTACAATCATTTGTTATAATGTATCTAATATGGGGGATTCCCCTGTCATTTAATACTTCGAGATCTTGTATTTCAAATGATTATTCTTACCAGTGATCGGGTCGCATCGGCCATGATTGCAGTCAGGGCATGGAAAACAATGTTTACCATAATACCCTTTCCTACAAGTTCTACATTGGCTGCCAACTCTGTTGAAGGGACATGTGCATCGATTTGGGGCATTGCAAATCCCACCATGTAGACATTTCTTTCTGCAGCGTGGCTCATTACAGCTTTGACCTTTCCATTTTTGTGTGCATTTGCATTTTCCTTTAAAATGTGGTGGAGTAGAAGCATTAAATACAGCACCATATGTGTACGGATAACATGGGAAAAGCCCATCGGACACGAGCTTTCAAAAGATGGATCCAAACAATATCCATTGCGTAACCAGGATCTAACTAAACATTGGGGAGGCAAAAATTGAGTTAACGCAATATAGACTTCATTAACTAGACTTAATGTTCATGGTTTTAATTGAAAAATGTCTGCCCTGGCTACGCCCATGAATATATTACAAGCCGTACAGCTTATATTAGTCATAATAGTGGTTGCGTTGAATTGGGCGTTTCTATTATAGTTTAAATGACTTCCCTGTCCGAACTCACCATCGATGCATCTCCCATGGAAGCACGTCTCATTCATAACACACGATAGCCTTTGTGTTGTTGAGAGATATGGAGTAGTGATCATCGCATTTTCTTTATCATAGATTGCTTTAAGTTCTCTGTCGTAGTTACATGGTGTCCTGAGGCAGGTTTCGTTTGAGCAGTAGCCTCGAGCAAGCACAATCTCTGGATAGCCGTGTTGCTATAAACATGGTTAATGGCAATATAAAATACACAAATCTTTAAAACTACTTTAGGAAATGTGAAACTAATTCACTAGTCCGTGTATCAAAGAAAACAAAAATGAGCACGTTTGATCTCAATGTGTCGATACGCTTGATTGTCGAAACAAATGTGTAAAAAAACCTATTTCCGAGGAACACTACTACAATAGAGTTAGTGTACATGAAAACAATAATCACCCCGTCTTTATCAGGATTAGCGAACTTGAACCTGCAGCCGCAGCATTTTTTCCTATAAAACCGTAAACAAGGTGGCATTCCGAACTGACACGAGCCTCTCTCTGGAACATACGGCGAACTAGACGGACTCGATTTAATTGTTGATTTCGAAATGTCGAGTGTTGTTAGATCAATGTTAGTGTGTGTAGTGAACGTTGTATTCATAACGCTAATAGTTGATGTGTATTCAACAGTGTCAGTTGATATTTTATTAGTTGATGATGGAGATCCAACAGTGTCAGTTGATGTTTTTTTAGTAGTTGATGTAGTAGATCCAACATTGTCGGTTGATATTCTATGAGTTGATGTTGTAGGTCCAACAGTGTCAGGTGATATTTTATTAGTTGATGTTGTAGATCCAACAGTGTCAATTGATATTTTATTAGTTGATGTTGAAGATCCAACAGTGTCAGTTGATATTTTATTAGTTGATGTTGTAGGTCCAACAGTGTCAGTTGATATTCTATTAGTTGATGTTGTAGATCCAACAGTGTCAGTTGATAGTTTATTAGTTGATGTTGTAGAGACAACAGTGTCAGTTGATATTTTATCAGTTGATGTTGTAGATCCGACAGTGTCAATTGATATTTCATTAGTTGATATAGATCCAACAGTATCAGTTGATATTTCATTTGTTGATGTTGTAGATCCAACAGTGTCAGATGATATTCTATGAGTTGATGTTGAAGATCCAACAGTGTCACTTGATATTTTATTAGTTGATGTTGTAGATCCAACAGTGTCCGCTGATATTCCATTAATTGATGTTGTAGATCCAACAGTGTTAATTGTCATTTTATTTGTCGAGGTTTTATATCCAATAGTGTCAGTTGATACTCTATTAGTTGATGTTGTAGATCCAACAGTGTCAGTTGATATTTTATGAGTTGATGTTGTAGATCCAACAGTGTCAGTTGATATTTTATTTGTTGATGTTTTAGATCCAACAGTGTCAGTTGATATTGTATTAGTTGATGTTGTAGATCCAACAGTGTCAGTTGATATTTTATTAGTTGATGTTGTAGATCCAACAGTGTCAGTTGATATTGTATTAGTTGATGTTGTAGATCCAACAGTGTCAGTTGATATTGTATTAGTTGATGTTGTAGATCCAACAGTGTCAGTTGATATTGTATTAGTTGATGTTGTAGATCCAACAGTGTCAGTTAATATTTTATTAGTTGATGTTGTAGATCCAACAGTGTCAGTTAATATTTTACTTGTTGATGTTGTAGATCGAACAGTGTTAATTGTCATTTTATTAGGTGAAGTATCTGATGCAGTTCTAGTATTTGTAATTATACTACTTAAAGGGACGGTTGTTCTCCTATCTGTTGCATTTGTTATTATACCATTGAAAGAAGTACCTGTAGATCCAACAATGTCAGTTGTAGATCCACCTTTGTCATGATTAATTGTAGTTATATCATTTGAAGAAGTAGGTCGACCATTACTAATATCAATCGTTCTTGGTGTAGTAGATCCACTCTTACTAATATCAATTGTTGTTTTAAGATTTGAAGTAGTAGATCCAACACTTCCAAAAGCAATTGTTGTTATATCATTTGAAGAAGTAGGTCGACTATTACCGATATCCATTGTTGTTCTAAGATTTGAAGTAGTAGATCCACTTATGCTATGATCAATTGTTGTTATATCGTTTGAAGAAGTAGATTGACTATTACTAATATCAATAAATCTTGATGTAGTAGATCCACTCTTACTAATATCAATTGTTGTTTCAAGATTTGAATTTGTAGATCCAACACTTCCAAAAGCAATTGTTGTTCTATCATTTGAAGAAGTAGGTCGACTATTACCGATATCCATTGTTGTTCTAAGATTTGAAGTAGTAGATCCACTAATGCTATGATCAATTGTTGTTATATCGTTTGAAGAAGTAGGTCGACCATTACCGATATCAATTGTTGTTCTAAGATTTGAAGAAGTAGATCCACTAATGCTATGATCAATTGTTGTTATATCGTTTGAAGTAGTATATCCAACATTAATTGATGTTACATCATTTGATGTTGAAGATCTACTATTGACATGATCAACTGTTGTTACATCATTTGGTGTAGAAGATGTACTATTGTCATGATCAATTGCTGTAATATCATTTGTTGTAGAAGATCTACCATCGTCATGATCAATTGTTGTTACATCATTTGGTGTAGAAGATCTACTATTGACATGATCAACTGTTGTTACATCATTTGGTGTAGAAGATGTACTATTGTCATGATCAATTGCTGTAATATCATTTGTTGTAGAAGATCTACCATCGTCATGATCAATTGTTGTTACATCATTTGGTGTAGAAGATCTACTATTGTCATGATCAATTGTTGTTACATCATTTGGTGTAGAAGATCTACTATTGTCATGATCAACTGTTGTTACATCATTTGGTGTAGAAGATGTACTATTGTCATGATCAATTGCTGTAATATCATTTGTTGTAGAAGATCTACCATCGTCATGATCAATTGTTGTTACATCATTTGGTGTAGAAGATCTACTATTGTCATGATCAATTGTTGTTACATCATTTGGTGTAGAAGATCTACTATTGTCATGATCAATTGTCGTTACATCATTTGGTGTGGAAGATCTACTATTGTCATGATCAATTGTTGTAACATCATTTGGTGTAGAAGATCTACTATTGTCATGATCAATTGTCGTTACATCATTTGGTGTGGAAGATCTACTATTGTTATGATCAATTGTTACTACATCACTTGGTGTAGAAGATCTACTATTGTTATGATCAATTGTTACTACATCACTTGGTGTAGAAGATCTACTATTGTCATGATCAATTGTTACTACATCACTTGGTGTGGAAGATCTACTATTGTCATTATCAATTGTTGTTACATCATTTGGTGTAGAAGATCTACTATTGTCATGATCAATTGTTGTTAGATCATTTGGTGTAGAAGATCTACTATTGTCATTATCAATTGTTGTTACATCATTTGGTGTAGAAGATCTACTATTGTCATAATCGATTGTTGTTACATCATTTGGTGTGGAAGATCTACTATTGCCATTATCAATTGTTGTTACATCATTTGGTGTAGAAGATCTACTATTGTCATAATCGATTGTTGTTACATCATTTGGTGTAGAAGATCTACTATTGCCATTATCAATTGTTGTTACATCATTTGGTGTAGAAGATCTACTATTGTCATTATCAATTGTTGTTACATCATTTGGTGTAGAAGATCTACTATTGTCATGATCAATTGTTGTTACATCATTTGGTGTAGAAGATCTACTATTGTCATTATCAGTTGTTGTTACATCATTTGGTGTAGAAGATCTACTATTGTCATGATCAATTGTTGTTACATCATTTGGTGTAGAAGATCTACCGATGTCATTTGTTATTATATCATCGGAAGAAGTAAAATCAACAGTTTCAGTTATTATATCATTTGAAGTCATATATTCACCAACGTCTGTTGTGATAATATCATTTGAAGTAGAAGATCCAACAGTTTTGATTATAGTATTATAATTCGGAGAAGTAGATTCACCAGTTTCAGTTATTGTACTACCTAAAGTTGTAGATTCAATAGCAGGAGTTGTCATTTTATCATTTGAAGTCATAGATTTAACAGTTAAATTAGGAATTGTTGTTTTATCCATGGAAGTCGTAGATGTACCAGATGTATCTATTGCTGTTATTTCAGTTGAAATCGTATATGCACCAGTGTCAATTGTTGTATCATCAGCTGAGGCTGTCGTTGGCTCAGTGTCAGTCGTGGTTTCATTTGCTGTTGGTATATTACTTGTAATCGTAGATTCATCATTATCTATTGTTGTTAAATCAGTCAAAGTCGTAGATTCTCCAGTTACTGATGTTGTATCAGTTAAATTTGTAGATGTATTATGGGCAGATCTTGTTTGTGAAGTAGTTCTATCCATGACGTCGGTAGTAGTTGTAATTATATCACATCTTCCTAAAATTGATATAAATATATTTCAATAAATACACATCATCTTGAAATACTATTCATATGGAATTTGAAAAATCAATTAATTTTAGAGTTTACCTGTGGTCTCATTGCATCTTCCTTCTTTGCAATCCTTGCATTTTGAGCAGCTGGGTCCGAATCTATTCTTTCTACATCGCTTGCACCTGCGACCAGTAAATCCATTGTGGCATTTGCACATGTCAGGGCCTACACAATAACCATGTCCACTGCAGTCGTTAACATTGTTACAGCTATATGCCGGAGAAGTTGAAATGGTCGGAGAATAGTTTAATAATAGTTCAGTTGTACTTGAAACATCAAATGTTGGATTTGTAGTAGATTTGATAGTAGAAGATACTCCATTGTCAATCGTTGTGATATCAGTTGATGTCGAAGATACTGCAGTGTCATTTTTTGTCAAATAAGTTGAAGTCGTGGATGCACCAGTGTCAAATTTTGTTATATCTGCTGACGTCGTAGCATCACTGCCAGTTGCTAATGTATCAGCTGAAGTCGTTGATGCACCAGTGCCAACTGCTGTTATAACAAGTGAAGCCTTAGATGTTCTTATATCGATTGTCGTTATATCAGATGAAGTCGTTGATTCACCAGGATCAATTGTTGTTTCATCACTTGAGGTCGTAGTTTCACCATTGTCAACTGCTGTTATACCATGAGGCGTCATCGTTTCACTACTTAAAATTGTTGTTACGTCAGTTGATGTCGTAGTTTCACTAGTATCAATTGTTGTTATACCAGCTGAAGTCGTAGATGCAATAGTATCAATTGTTGTTATACCAGCTGAAGTCGTAGATGCATTAGTATCAATTGTTGTTATACCAGCTGAAGTCGTAGATGCAATAGTATCAATTGTTGTTATACCAGCTGAAGTCGTAGATGCATTAGTATCAATTGTTGTTATACCAGCTGAAGTCGTAGATGCATTAGTATCAATTATTGTTATACCAGCTGAAGTCGTAGATGCATTAGTATCAATTGTTGTTATACCAGCTGAAGTCGTAGATGCATTAGTATCAATTGTTGTTATACCAGCTGAAGTCGTAGATGCATTAGTATCAATTGTTGTTATACCAGCTGAAGTCGTAGATGCATTAGTATCAATTGTTGTTATACCAGCTGAAGTCGTAGATGCATTAGTATCAATTGTTGTTATACCAGGTGAAGTCGTAGATGCATTAGTATCAATTGTTGTTATACCAGGTGAAGTCGTAGATGCATTAGTATCAATTGTTGTTATACCAGCTGAAGTCGTAGATGCATTAGTATCAATTGTTGTTATACCAGGTGAAGTCGTAGATGCATTAGTATCAATTGTTGATATTCCGGATGAAGTTGTTGATGCACCAGTGTCCATTGTTGTTATACCAGATGAAGTCGTAGATGCATTAGTATCAATTGTTGTTATACCAGCTGAAGTCGTAGCTGCATTAGTATCAATTGTTGTTATACCAGCTGAAGTCGTAGATGCATTAGTATCAATTGTTGTTATACCAGGTGAAGTCGTAGATGCATTAGTATCAATTGTTGTTATACCAGCTGAAGTCGTAGATGCATTAGTATCAATTGTTGTTATACCAGCTGAAGTCGTAGATGCATTAGTATCAATTGTTGTTATACCAGGTGAAGTCGTAGATGCATTAGTATCAATTGTTGTTATACCAGGTGAAGTCGTAGATGCATTAGTATCAATTGTTGTTATACCAGCTGAAGTCGTAGATGCATTAGTATCAATTGTTGTTATACCAGGTGAAGTCGTAGATGCATTAGTATCAATTGTTGTTATACCAGCTGAAGTCGTAGATGCATTAGTATCAATTGTTGTTATACCAGCTGAAGTCGTAGATGCATTAGTATCAATTGTTGTTATACCAGCTGAAGTCGTAGATGCATTAGTATCAATTGTTGTTATACCAGGTGAAGTCGTAGATGCATTAGTACCAATTGTTGTTATACCAGGTGAAGTCGTAGATGCATTAGTATCAATTGTTGTTATACCAGGTGAAGTCGTAGATGCATTAGTATCAATTGTTGATATTCCGGATGAAGTTGTTGATGCACCAGTGTCCATTGTTGTTATACCAGATGAAGTCGTAGATGCATTAGTATCAATTGTTGTTATACCAGCTGAAGTCGTAGATGCATTAGTATCAATTGTTGTTATACCAGCTGAAGTCGTAGATGCATTAGTATCAATTGTTGTTATACCAGGTGAAGTCGTAGATGCATTAGTATCAATTGTTGTTATACCAGCTGAAGTCGTAGATGCATTAGTATCAATTGTTGTTATACCAGCTGAAGTCGTAGATGCATTAGTATCAATTGTTGTTATACCAGGTGAAGTCGTAGATGCATTAGTATCAATTGTTGTTATACCAGGTGAAGTCGTAGATGCATTAGTATCAATTGTTGTTATACCAGCTGAAGTCGTAGATGCATTAGTATCAATTGTTGTTATACCAGGTGAAGTCGTAGATGCATTAGTATCAATTGTTGTTATACCAGGTGAAGTCGTAGATGCATTAGTATCAATTGTTGTTATACCAGCTGAAGTCGTAGATGCATTAGTATCAATTGTTGTTATATCAGTTGAAGTCTTAGATGAACTTGTATCAATTGTTGTTATACCAGATGAAGTCTTAGATGCAATAGTACCAATTGTTGCTATGTCAGTTGATGTTGTTTCACTAGTGTCAATTGCTGTACTACTATTTGGCGTTATAATTTCACCACTTGTTGAAGTTGAAGTCTTAGATGCACTTGTATCAGTTGTTGTTATACCAGATGACGTCGTAGTTTCACTAGTATCAGTTGTTGGTTTATCAGTTGAAGACGCAGATGCACCAGTATCAATTGTTGTTATACCAGGTGAAGTCTCAGATGCATTAGTATCAATTGTTGATATTCCGGATGAAGTTGTTGATGCACCAGTGTCCATTGTTGTTATACCAGATGAAGGCTTAGAAGCACTAGTATCAATTGTTGCTATGTTAGTTGATGTTGTTTCACCAGTGTCAATTGCTGTTGTACCAGTTGACGTCATAGATGCATGAGTATCGATTGTTGTTGTACTCATGGATGCACCATTGTCATTTGCTGTTACATCAGGTGAATCCGTAGATGCACCAGTGTCAAATGTTGTTTTGTCAGTTGAAGCTGTCGTCGGTCGAGTTTTAATTGTTATCATATCAGTTGAAGTCTTTGATTCATCAGTGTCAATTGATGTTGTATCACTTGAAGTGCTGGATGCACCAATATTAATTGTTGTGATACTAGCTGAAGTCATAGATGGGCTTGTGTCTATTGTTGTTCTGTTAGCTGAAGTCGCCGTTGTACCAGTTTCAATCGTCGTTTTATTAGCTGAAGTCACAAATGCACCAGTGAGTGTTGTCCGTATATTACTTGTTATTGTAGATTCATCATTTTCTATTGGCGTATCAGTCAAGGTCGTAGATGTCGCATGAGTAGCTGTCTTTTGTAAAGTAGTTTCATCCATGACATTGGTAGTAGTTGTAATTATATCACACCTACCTAAAATCATTTCGGATTTAGATAAATACACAGTTTGATAATCATTTTGAAATACTTTTTATTTCAAATTTGAAAAATGAATTAAATTCAGAGTGTACTTGTTAACTCATTGCACCTTCTCTCTTTGCAATCACTATTCATATGGAACTTGAAAAATCAATGAATTTTAGAGTTTACCTGTAGTCTCATTGCATCTTCCTTCTTTACAATCTTTGCATTTTGAGCAGGTGGGTCCAAATCTATCCTTTCTACATCGCTTGCATTTCCGACCAGCAAATCCATCGTGGCATTTGCACATGTCAGGGCCTACACAATAACCATGTCCACTGCAGTTTTTAACATTGTTACAGCTATATGCCGGAGAAGTTGAAATGGTCGAAGAATAGTTTATTAATAGTTCAGTTGTAGTTGAAACATCAAATTTTGGATTTGTAGTAGATTTGATAGTAGAAGATACTCCATTGTCAATCGTTGTGATATCAGTTGACGTCGGAGATACTCCAGTGTCAATTGTTGTTAGATCAGTTGAAATTGTTTCCATGGAATTCGTCGATGCACTAGTGTAAATTGGTGTTTTATTAGTTGAAGCTGTCGTTGAACCAGTTTCAATTGTTATCATATCAGTTGGAGTATTTGATTCATCAGTGCCAATTGCTGTTGTATAAGTTGAGATACTAGATGCACGAATGTTAATTGTTGTCATATTAGTTGACGTCACAGCTGGAGTAGCTTCAATTGTTGTTTTATTAACTGAAGTCATAGATGGACTTGTGTCTATTGTTGAAATATCAGCTGTACTCATTGTTTGACCAGTGTCAATCGTTGTTCTATTAGCTGAAGTCATAGATGGACTTGTGTCTATTGTTGAAATATCAGCTGAAGCTGTCGTTGGACCAGTGCCTATCGTCGTTTTATTAGCTGAAGTCATAGATGAACTTGTGTCTATTGTTGAAATATCAGCTGAAGCTGTCGTTGGATCAGTGTCAATCGTTATTTTATTAGCTGAAGTCATAGATGGACTTGTGTCTATTGTTGAAATATCAGCTGAAGCTGTCGTTGGACCAGTGCCTATCGTTGTTTTATTAGCTGAAGTCAAAGATGGACTTGTGTCTCTTGTTGAAATATCAGAAGAAGCTGTCGTTGGACCAGTGCCTATCGTTGTTTTATTAGCTGAAGTCATAGATGAACTTGTGTCTATTGTTGAAATATCAGCTGAAGCTGTCCTTGGACCAGTGTCAGTCGTCGTTTTATTAGCTGAAGTCATAGATGGACTTGTGTTTCTTGTTGAAATATCAGCTGAAGCTGTCGTTGGACCAGTGCCTATCGTCGTTTTATTAGATGAAATCATAGATGGACTTGTGTCTATTGTTGAAATATCAGTTGTACCCATTGTTGGACCAGTGTCAATCGTTGTTTTATTAGCTGAAGTCCTAGATGGACTTGTGTCTATTGTTGAAATATCAGTTGTACCCATTGTTGGACCAGTGTCAATCGTTGTTTCATTAGCTGAAGTCATAGATGAACTTGTGTCTACTGTTGAAATATCAGCTGAAGCCGTCGTTGGACCAGTGTCAATTGTTGTTTTATCAGATGAAGTCATAGATGGACTTGTGTCTATTGTTGAAATATCAGCTGTAGCCATCGTTTGACCAGTGTCAATTGTTATTTTATTAGCTGAAGTCGTAGATGAACTTGTGTCTATTGTTGAAATATCAGCTGAAGCTGTCGTTGGACCAGTGTCAATTGTTATTTTATTAGCTGAAGTCATAGATGGACTTGTGTCGATTGTTGAAATATCAGAAGAAGCCGTCGTTGGACCAGTGCCTATCGTTGTTGTATTAGCTGAAGTCATAGATGGACTTGTGTCGATTGTTGAAACACCAGCTGAAGCCGTCGTTGGACCAGTGCCCATCGTTGTTTTATAAGCTGAAGTCAAAGATGGACCAGTGCCTGCTGTTGGTATATTACTTGTAATCGTAGATTCATCATTTTCTATTGTTGTTATATCAGCCAAAGTCGTAGATGCTCCAGTGACTGATGTATCAGTTAAAGTTGTAGATGTTGCACGTGCAGCTGTTGTATTTGAAATAGTTTCATTCATGACGTTGACAGTAGTTGTAATCATATCACATCTTCCTAAAATTATTATTTAGATACTCAGATAAAACAGATCATTTTGAAATACTATTCATTTCGAATGAGAAAACTAAATTAAATCCAGAGTTTACCTGTAATCTCATTGCATCTTCCCTCTTTGCAATCTTTGCATTTTGAGCAACTGGGTCCGAATCTATCCTTCCTACATCGCTTACACTTGCGACCAGCAAATCCATCATGGCATTTGCATATCTCGGGGCCTACACAATAACCGTGTCCACTGCAGTCGTTAACATTTTTACAGCTATATGCCGGAGAAGTGAGAATGGTCAGAGAATGATTTAATAATAGTTCAGCTGTAGTTGAAACATCAAAAATTGGATTTGTAGTAGATTTGATTGTGGAGGATACTACAATGTCGATAGTTGTCTTACCAGTTGAGATCGTAGATTCACCAGTTTCATTTGTTATTATATCAATTGTTGTTTTATCATGTGGCGTCATATTTTCACTTGTGGTTATCGTTGTTATGTTAGGCGAAGTTGTAAAAGCACTATGTCTAGTGTCAATTGATGTTATATCAATTGTAGTCGTAGTTTCACTAATGCCCATAGCTGTTTTACCAGTTGAAACTACATCAGCAGTTTTTCCAGTGTTCATTCTTGTTATATCAATTGAAGTCTTAGATTCACCAGTATTAATTGTTGTTATATCAACTTGAGTCGTAGTTTCAACACCGTCAGTTGATGCTATATCATCAGTTTTCCCAGTGTTTATTGTTGTTATATCAGTTGAAGTCGTAGATGCATTTGTATCAATTGTTGTTATACCATGTGAAGTCTGAGATACACGAGTATCAATTGTTGTTATGCCAGGTAAAGTCTTAGATGCACCAGTATCGATTGTTGTTATACCAGGTGAAGTCTTAGATGCACTCGCATCAGTTGTTATTATGCCAGGTGAAGTTGTAGATTCACCTGTAACCATTGCTGTTACACCAAATGAAATCGTGGATCCACCATTGTCAATTGTTGTTTCATCAGATGAAGTCGAAATTTCCCCATCTTCAATTGTTGTTACACCAGGCGTCACAGTTTCACCATTTTTATTTGTTGTTATGTCAGTTGATGTCGTAAGATCACCAGTATGAATTGTTGTTATACCAGGTTGAGTTTCAGATGCACTAGTATCAATTGTTGTTATGCCAGGTGAAGTCTCAGGTGCACTATTATCAATTGTTGTTGTTGTACCAGGTGAAGTTGTAGATTCACCTGTGTCCAATGTTGTTATAAGAGTTGAAGTCTTAAATGCACTAGTATCAATTGTTGTTATACCAGGTGAAGTCTTAGATCCACTAGTATCAATTGTTGTTGTGCCAAGTGAAGTTGTAGATTCCTCAGTGTCCAATGTTGTTATATGAGTTGAAGTCATAGATGCACTTGTATCAATTGTTGTTATACCAGGTGAAGTCTTAGATGCACTTGTATCAATTGTTGTTATGCCAGGTGAAGTCTTAGATGTACTTGTATCAATGGTTGTTATACCAGGTGAAGTCTTAGATGCACTTGTATCAATTGTTGTTATACCAGGTGACGTCGTAGATGCACTTGTATCAATTGTTGTTATACCAGGTGAACTCTTAGATGCACTAGCATCAATTGTTGTTATATCAGGCGAAGTCTTAGATGCACTTGCATCAATTGTTGTTATACTAAGTGAACTCTTAGATGCAATAGCATCAATTGTTGTTATACCAGGTGAAGTCTTAGATGCACTTGTATCAATTGTTGTTATACCAGGTGAAGTCTTAGATGCACTTGTATCAATGGTTGTTATACCAGGTGAAGTCTTAGATGCACGTGTATCAATTGTTGTTATGCCAGGTGAAGTCTTAGATGCACTAGTATCAATGGTTGTTATGCCAGGTGATGTCTTAGATGCATTAGCATTAGTTGTTGTTATACCAGGTGAACTCTTAGATGCACTACCATCAATTGTTGTTATACCAGGTGAAGTCTTAGATGCACTTGTATCAATTGTTGTTATGCCAGATGATGTCTTAGATGCAATAGCATTAGTTGTTGTTATACCAGGTGAACTCTTAGATGCACTAGCATCAATTGTTGTTATACCAGGTGAACTCTTAGATGCACTAGTATCAATTGTTGTTGTACCAGGTGAAGTTGTAGATTCTTCCGTGTCCAATGTTGATATATGAGTTGAAGTCTTAGATGCACTTGTATCAATTGTTATTATGCCAGGTGAACTCTTAGATGCAATAGCATCAATTGTTGTTATACCAGGTGAAGTCTTTGATTCATTAGTGTCAGTTGTTGTAATGTCAAGTGAAGTCTTAGATGCACTAGCATCAATTGGTGTTATGTAAGGTGAAGTTATAGATTCACCAGTGCCCATTGTTGTTGTTGTTGTGCCAGGTGAAGTTGTAGATTCTTTAGTGTCCATTGTTGTTATACCAGGTGAAGTCATAGATTCACTTGTATCAATTGTTGTCATACCAGGTGAAGTCTTAGATTCACTTGTATCAATTGTTGTCATACCAGGTGAAGTCTTAGATTCACTTGTATCAATTGTTGTCATACCAGGTGAAGTCATAGATTCACTTGTATCAATTGTTGTCATACCAGGTGAAGTCTTAGATTCACTTGTATCAATTGTTGTCATACCAGGTGAAGTCTTAGATTCACTTGTATCAATTGTTGTCATACCAGGTGAAGTCATAGATTCACTTGTATCAATTGTTGTTATACCATATGAAGTCTTTGATTCATTAATGTCAGTTGTTGTAATGTCAAGTGAAGTCTTAGATGCACTAGCATCAATTGGTGTTATGTAAGGTGAAGTTATAGATTCACCAGTGCCCATTGTTGTTGTTGTTGTGCCAGGTGAAGTTGTAGATTCTTTAGTGTCCATTGTTGTTATTCCAGGTGAAGTCATAGATTCACTTGTATCAATTGTTGTCATACCAGGTGAAGTCATAGATTCACTTGTATCAATTGTTGTCATACCAGGTGAAGTCTTAGATTCACTTGTATCAATTGTTGTCATACCAGGTGAAGTCTTAGATTCACTTGTATCAATTGTTGACATATCATTTGGAGTCGTTGTTTCACCAGTGTCAGTTGATGTTTTATCAGTAGTTTTTCCAGGGTATATTGTTATATCAATTGAAGTCGTAGTTTCACCAGTATCAATTATTGTTTTATCAGTTGAAGACGTAGATGCATTAGTTTCAGTTGTTAATATACCAGGTGAAGTTGTAGAGGCACTAGGTTCAATTGTTGTTATGCCAGGTGAAGTCGTAGATGCATTAGTATCAATTGTTGTTATACCAGGTGAAGTTGTAGATTCTTCAGTGTCCATTTCGGTTGTACCAGTTGAAGTCTCAGGTGCACTTGTATCAATTGTTGTTATTCCAAGTGAAGTCTTAGATGCACTTATATCAATTGTTGTTATTCCAAGTGAAGTCGTAGATGCACTGGTATCATTTTCTGTTATGCCAGGTGAAGTCTCAGGTGCACTTGTATCAATTGTTGTTATACCAGGTGAAGTCTTAGATGCACTTATATCAATTGTTGTTATTCCAAGTGAAGTCGTAGATGCACTAGTATCATTTTCTGTTATGCCAGGTGAAGTCTCAGGTGCACTTGTATCAATTGTTGTTATACCAGGTGAAGTCTTAGATGCACTTATATCAATTGTTGTTATTCCAAGTGAAGTCGTAGATGCACTAGTATCATTTTCTGTTATGCCAGGTGAAGTCTCAGGTGCACTTGTATCAATTGTTGTTATACCAGGTGAAGTCTTAGATGCACTTATATCAATTGTTGTTATTCCAAGTGAAGTCTTAGATGCACTAGCATCAGTTGTTGATATATCAGTTGAAGTCGAAGATGCACTAGTATCAATTGTTGATATACCAGGTGAAGTCTCAGGTGCACTATTATCAATTATTGTTATACCAGGTGAAGTCTTAGATGCACTTGCATCAATTGTTGTTATGGCAGGTGAAGTCATGGATTCACCATTGTTAATTGTTGTTTTAGCAGCTAAAGTCGTAGGTTCAAATGTATCAATTGTTGTTTTTTTAGGTGAAGAAGTAGTTTCTCTCATGACGTCTGTATGCACACGCTTTGTTGTTGTTATATCACAGATTCCTAAAATTATTTTGTCAAGCTTAAAACAAAAACAAATTGTTTTATAATAGTACTAGTATTCATATTTCATTTTGGAAAATTAACGTCAGAGTCTACCTGTGATTTCATTGCATCTGCCTTCTTCGCAATCTTTGCATTTTGAGCAAGTTGGTCCGAATCTATCCTTACTACATCGCTTGCACTTGCGACCAGCAAATCCATCGTGACATTTGCACACATCAGGGCCTACACAATAACCATGTCCACTGCAGTTGTTAACATTGTTACAGCCATGAGCCGGAGAACCACTAGTCGGATTAGTCGAAGAATTGTTTAAAAACAGTTCCGTCGGCGTGACATCAATTTTTGTATCTGTTGTCGAATGGGTGACTGTTGATGTCATAATCAGATGCTGACAAAGATCACCACCATAACCAGACTTGCAATCACATGTACCTGAAATTTTCAGGACAAACTAAATGTTTTAGCATATGAACAGATTTAAAACATTTTTGTGTGTGGGGCGCATTTACTTACAAATTGGTTATATGCACAACATGTGATGTTTAACAGTTTGGCACATCAATATGCATAGTGAGCCCGGGATAGTGAGTCTATTCTTCTTCCAAGATCTTACTGTACTTGACAAAATTGGTTGCAAGACTAAACTGTTTTATTTTTCGATTTTTGCAAAATAGAATTTACAATTGAAAGGGCTATTCTCCGTTTGGAGAACGAAGTTCATCACTCTAATTGAGCGTTACCACTGCTTCGGACTTTGATGTTTTACATAATATAGATTTGAGTGTCTTCATTTGATTAGTCATAATTTAATTTGGGTGTTATTCCTAGATTTTTCATATAAAATCATTAGCGCAGTACACTGATGGACTTCTTTCTCCAAATTGAGATCCCTGCTTCGGACAATTGTGATATTTTTACATCTCTTTTTAATATTCATAATTTCATTTGGGTAATATTTCTATATTTTTTATTAAAGAATATTAGCCTAGGAGACTGTTCTCCAAACAGAGACTTGTCCTTTCGCAAATGGAAAAATTTAGAAACACTTCGGTAGCACTTCTTTTTTATTATTGATTATTGAGACCTAATCCCACTATCACACCAAACTAGATCTCAACGGGAAGATTCTCGAGAACTTTCTTTCTGATTTTGCAACGATTGAAAACGTACTAAGACGAGCTGGATGGACTACGAACGGAACTGTTGTGCTTCAATCCCACTAGGAACGTATTTCAACTTTGCAGTCGTGTGCACACCAACCTGGTCGTTTGTTGCTCGTTCATTCTGTTCGTAGACAGACCCAACTCGACCGAATAACGTCCTTAGTCAGTCATTATTCCGTGCAAATATGTTCTAAAATGTATATTTTGAAGGAACGAGTTAAACTGGATATTAGGTGGTAATTCAATAATATATTGCATGGGACGTGTTGGGAACGATGTAGAACTAATTGTAAACTTATTAAGGACGTAATTTAACTTCTAGGATAGGTTATGTAGAGATAAACGCGCAATTATACCCGATCTAAAATTGATAGCAACGTACTGCAGATGGAATAAAGACGACATGGACGTATTGAAAACTGCTTATAAACGAATTAGCCAAAAATAGCTATCAGACCAAACTAGTTGTCACTGCGTTCTGTAAAGCGTTGCCGAACTGGTTTTAAACTGTGCGCAAAAGAACGAACGAGATAAACTAATAGACTACGGACGTAATTGCTGTACTTTGACCCTACTGGGGACGCGTGAACGATGTGCGACCTAAACGATCTGCGAATCAGATGGACATATAGAAGACGGTTTATGAACGAAGTATCTAATTATTTTAGCTATTTCCCGACCACTGCCAGATTTAGCCCGTTTTATGGCTTTTTGTCGGACTGGAAAGATCGGTTGAGAACTAGTTTGGTGTGATAGGAGTTTTAGAGTCTTTAAATATTTTAGTACGTCAGGTGTTCTCCTCTCCACGACCTTTGTAATTCTAACATGTAAATATAAGGATGGTTTAGTTAGACATTGGGAAGTTTAAGCTTGCATATAAAATCGAAACACCAACCTACACTGGCATGTAGCGGCCCTGATATCGATAAATTCTACACGCAATATAACCCGATTTTAGATGCTTGGTTAAAACTTTACACGAAAAAGCCTCGAAATCCGGGCATTTACTCTTACACTGAACTGAAAATAGCATCGTCTAAACGTGTATGTCTTGGCTTCCGGGAAAGTTTATCAACGTTTATACTCAATTGAAAGAGCAGTCGTGCTTATATCGTGTACCAGTTTGATTGTTTTATATGTGTGTGTATTTATAATATGATAGCCTAGTAATACCGTGTCGTTAGAACAAGTGCTAGATATCGAACTGATGACCTGAAATTAGATTATTGGACTGATCGCGTATCTGATATTAGATGATTAATTTGCATTGAATCTGATATTAACTTGCAACCCAATACCACAGTAAATACCATGACTTTACATTAGAATGATAACACGGCCTCATATTCTAATTCATTATACGTCCATTGCAGGCCAAAAATGTTTCAATGTGGATATTGTTATGCACACGAGAATACATTCGATTCGTATATATTGATCATACATCAATTGAACATGGAGATTTTCCTGTACACTTTTCCCAAACATGTGGAATAGACTAGATGCGAGTAGAAATTATCTTGATTTATCCTATGCCAAGTAGGGTTTTAGGGAGATAAGTTGGTAAGATATATCCCGTATCCTGATTTTGAGGTTTCCATATCAAGAACCTCCATATCTCCCGTCATATCTCCCGCTTCGGTGCATATCTTCCCGCTTCGGGGCATATCTTCCCGCTTCCAAAAAAGTGGAAATGCAATAAAATGACTTTGCATATGAATGATTTGTTTATTTTTTACACCTTGCACTACTGAAAACTATACTTGGTATAGGATAAAGCAGTTATGTACGGTCGGTTTGGATATTGGGTTCATCCCTCGTGAGATATGCACATCTACTTTCTGTCTCTACGGTCCCTCAGGTAGATATGCATATCTCCCTCTGGAAAAACCCCATATCCAAAACCTCCCAGTACATAACCCTTATTTATCCCATGGTTACAAGGATATAGATCGAATATCACGTGAAGATATAATTGATACGTGGATGAAGATATCATATTTTAGCAAACAATTCCCAAATCATCGAATATCACTTTTGAAACCATCGAATATCACTTTTTGAAAGGTGATATTCGATGGTTTCAAAAGTGATATTCGATGGTTTCAAAAGTGATATTCGATGGTTTGATTTTTTCAATTTTTTTATTAATTCAGCAAAACGATTGTTTATATATTTATTATATATTTTTATTTTTTGGGATCTTGTTTTTACGGCGTTCGCATTAAATACAAACCACTCTGTTACGTCACGTATATGACGTTCGTTGAATTATCGCAATCAAAATGTCAGACGAAATGGAATTTCCATTGCAATTTATCTGACTATTCAATGTTCGCTGGATAATAATTCCCAATGGGATAAACGGACAATCCTATGGTTTTTCAAAAATATCACTTATATCCACTCATGGATATCAGTATCTTCACTCATTCGCTGCGCTCACTCGCGAAGATATCAATATCCACTCATGGATATAAGTGATATTTTTTCAGAGCCATAGGATATTCCTACATTATTCCATAGTTAGCATGATATCCAAAGGATAACATGTCAAAATAAAAACGGTATTTTTGAAATCAGTGGTAAAATATGATATTTTTGGCAAATTTTCACTTAACCATAGCATACGGTGTTTTAGCCATGACATACGGCGCCGTATGCCATGGTTTATGGATTTTTGCTACTTCAGACTCAAAACGAGGCTAAGTGTCAATATCGCCGTATCGTTTGGAAAATACGTTTTAAATCACTTAATTCCCGACGATTCTGATGATGACTTTAACTATGGAATATTAAGAACATCCTATGATTTACTCGTGATATGATTTTAATCCACTAATGGATGTTGATATCTGCACTCTCTCGCTTCGCTCACTCGTGCAGATATCATATCCATTTGTGGATAAAAATCATATCACTCATAAATCATAGGATATCCTCTGTTTAAGATGTGATATTCGATAGTTTAAAAGTGATATTCGATGGTTTGTAAATTGTTTGCTAAAATATGATATCTTGGTCCACATATCAAATATATCATCATGTGATATTCGATCTATATCCTCCTTGCAACCATGGGATAGAGCTTTACGTCCCGCTCCCAAGCGGGCAGATATAGTATATCTGCCCGCTACGTCATAATCGCCGCTTGCATATTTGTTCATAATTTGTAACGTTCGCGGAATGACTGTAAACGGCAATGGAGAAAACACAGACAATCAGGGTCTGTTTGATAGTTAAAAAAAGGGAAAGAGCATCCACTTAATAAATAAAAAATCCTAGAAAATAAATATGGGAATATTTGAGAGAACATGAAAATCCGCCCACGGCCAAGAAAACAAAACTGGACATGAATATTCTAAAATGTTTCCACGATTTAACAATGTGAACCAGATGACCAAGATTGGTATGGGATAAACATATTATCCTATAGTCGCCCATATCAAAATTTACAAAGGCTTTACACCTACAATTTACACTCAGTTTATACTTACTTTACACCCAGTAAATAGGTGACCAATTTCATATGCAAATGAGCTAATTTACTCTTTAATTTACACTCAGTTTACACCTTAGTGTACACCCACTTTACACTTAAGTTTACATCTACTTTACATCCAGTTCGCACTTAGTTTTCACTTAAGTTTACACTCAGTTTACACTTACTTTACACCCAGTAAATAGGTGACCAATTTCACATGCAAATGAGCTAATTTACACCTAAGTTTACACTCAGTTTACACTTTAGTATATATCCAATTTACATCAAGAGCACATTCTGATTGGTCAGATTTTACACTTAATTTACAGTTAGTTCACATAGTAAGTTCACCTAATCCTTAATTGGCAAAATGCTAACTGCTTATCGCAGGGGGAGAGAATGCAAAGATATTCTGAATTTTGAAGCACTGTGATCAGAGAATAATATTAATGAAGATACAGGGGGTCCAAAGCGTAACGAATCGAAAAAAATTGCAAAAACAAAAATCCCATGTTAAATCGCCATGGGGATTTTCCTGGAATTTACTGTCCAAGCGCTTTAAAAAGTAATAGTAGGAGTTATGCTATAGTACAAATATCACAGAATGATCAGCATTAAAGATCTATACAAGTAGTTCTGCACAGATTTTTAAATTGAAGTTTTAAACAAAAAATGCTAAAATAATTCTGTTTTGTAAAAAGTCCAAATCCGCCATCTTGAATTATGATGTCACAATGACACTTTTTTGCATATTCAATTTTTTCAAGAAAAAACTCCGTAAAATATGGGTCTGTATAATTTATTGGGCCTTGTTTCCTTCTCTTGCTTCTAGATTCTTTTACAAATAACTTTTTTATTTTCTTCATTTTTCTTAAAAGTTGCCAGTCTCCAAGGAGTTAATGAATGTATATGTCCTATGTAAAACCTATACAAATAAACTGACCCATATTGAATTGCAGCCCAGGGTATAATGCCATCATGATTCAGATTAGAATGAATTCTAGGTGAAAAGATCAAAACAAGCAGGCAAGCACAAAAGGTAGAAAGATTCAATGGATATATTGAAAAGAAATTTGAAGCTTAAGAAAATGGATAACTAAATGAACAATGATGATGAAACTGGAACAAATGCACAACTAATACCTAATGGTAAAGTTGACACCAAAATTAAATAAAGTAAAACTGTATCAGGGCCGATGGTATAGGATTTTGTGAAGACTTACCAAAACCAAAATGGCTAAGACAGCTTTGATTGAAAGAGAGGCTGCATGAGCCTCGTTTTGGAATTAGGATTCAGTCAAGTATACACTTAGTTTACACTTTGACCAATATTTGATTTTTCTGAGTCTAATTTACATCCAGTTTTCACTTTTAACAAATTCAAAGTCAAGTTTACACCTTGTAAATCAGTGTTTACTTTCTGCTGGTAAATACCTATTTACTTGAGGTAAAGTTAACATCGAAGTATACACCAAGGTCTGGTGTAAATTAAGTGTAAACTGAGTGTAAACTGGATGTAAACTCGCGGTTCAGGATATTGGGATTATCCCTTGGCCAATATATAGGGGTTATGCAATTGGAGGTTTTGGATACAGGGAATATCCCGAGGGATATACAATATATCTTCCCGAGGGACCGAAGGGACCAAGGGAAGATATATTATATATCCCTCGGGATATTCCCTGTATCCAAAACCTCCAAGTGCATAACTGTTGTATATAATTTACCATGATATGTACTTCTTTCTGTAACTGGAATACGATTCTAATATACAAGCAGCACATACGTATTCCCGGGGAACCATAAATATTTTGTGTAGGGTGTGGACATTTTTCTTTTCATTTCTCTAAAATCAGACTATTCTCATAAAATTCATACAAAGTTGGGCCTAAGCCTCTATTTTCGTATTCTGCATGTTAAGATATTTATTATGTAAAACCCAAGAGATAAATTCAATGTCTTCAGTTGAGAATAAGTATAAGGTAAATGTGTGAATTCTGCTTGTTGTTGCACTATTTTTATAAAAAACCAGGTTCGATACGCAACACTGAATAGACTGCAGTCATAGCTTAGTTGTAAAGAAAACAAAAGAAGTTGGGACGTGGTCATGCTTGAATACGATTTTAAATATATCGCCGTTTACATTTGTTGAAATCGGCCTGTATTAATTTCAACAGGTGATCGGTGTACAAGGGCATATATTTGAGTTATTGGTTTAACGATAAGTATGACCTATGAGTGGGTAATGTTTTACAAATGCATGAAACAAATACTCCAATGGCCTAATCTCAATTTTCCTGCATAAACTATTACATTGAAATGTTGGTCATTTGCTCTCTAACTTCCGCACCGCATACGTAACTTCGTAACAATTCAATAAGCCAAGACAGGACCGCTATAATCGCTACATGCCAGTGAACCTATACGTATGACCAATCGCCAATACAAATGCGTCGCTTAAATATTTTCCGTTCACGTTAGGTTGTGAAAAACATTGCAAGCTTAAACTTCCTATTTTACGAGAACCAGCTGTAGGTGAACGTGTAATATTTTAACCCCGGCGATTACTATCCCGCTCCAAATTCACTTTTCCAGGAAGCTAATTACAATTATTTTTCGTATACTCAATCGGCCAAGAAAACACTACAAAATGAGAGAACTAATCCATAGATGAGAATAATTCTACACGTTCACGTACACGATTTTCAAAAAATGTGGAACTTAATCTCCCTATTATACTCCTCAAAAAAGGTTAAAGACCAGTCTTTTTCCTAATAGGTTTACATGTTAAACCCCATGTATCTTTGAACTCTATAATCTTAGCCTGAAACGAAAGAAAAACTGATAAATGGATGTGTACCTTGACTCTAATCTCTTTCTCGAAAATGGAATTTACATAGACAATTGAATTTGCTAACTTGTCTACAACAAAAAATTGATTTGTTTTTCCGGCTTTTACAAAGTTAATATGAGTTTCAAAGGTCAAAAATTATTTCTGAATAAATGAAAAAATGAATTGTCAAAAATACTTTGATGCTGAGTATCAGTAATTCTCACATAGTAAGTTTTACGTAAGTTGGTTAACATGGGTTCTACCATTTTTTTAAATTCCTCAACTTTAACATCAATTTTGACCTTTTGTAATGAAGAGATTAAATTGAGTATTTCCTGAAATATAGAGAATAGAGTCAAGGTACATATCCATTTATCAGTTTTCCTTTTGTTTCGCTTAGAAAATAGAGTTCAAAGATACATGGTGTTTAACATGTAAACCTATGAGGAAAAAGACTGGTCCTTAACTTTTTTTAAAGGAGTATATCTCTACAGGTAAACTCCGCACATCTCATCATGATACATACCTTTTAATATGTTACATATCCCGTGTACACAAAGAGGGCACTCTATACAGTTGGGACCGACTCTGTTCCTTATACAACGCTTACATTTTCCTCCAGTAAACCCGTCATGACAGCGACATAGGTTTGTTCCTATACACACGCCATGTCCACTGCAGTCATTCACCTTGGCACAGTTATATGCAGACGTAGATTGTTTAAGTGTGTTTGTTGATGTCAGCGACGCCAATGTAGTTTGCACTGTTATTCTTAATGGTGATTCTGACGTTGTTGATGGTGAATGTGACACTGTCGATGATATCAAACCATCCACCGTAGATGATGTGAATGGAGTACTTGGGATTGAACAATCATCACCTGTGTAACCACTGTGGCATGAACAAACATCCGGCCTCACACATTCACCATTGTTATTACAACCATTGACTTTATCACACAAAGGAGTAGCACAATCTTTATCTGAGTAACCAGCGTCGCATTGACACCGATCTGGTGAAATGCATTGGCCATGACTGGAACAATCATTCACAGTGGCACAGATTGGCTTGCCACAGTCATCTCCTGTATAGCCGTCCATACATTCACACAAATCAGGTGCGATACACTTCCCATGATTGGTACATGCGTTTACTCCATTGCACATTGGTGTGCTGCAATCGTCACCACTATAGTCTTTACTACATGCACATTTATCCGGACTTACACAGTTTCCATTCCCATTGCAGTCATTCAATGATGTGCATATGGGTACGGCACAATCCTTAGATGTGTAGCCATCGTTGCACTGACATATTTCAGGATGAATACATTCACCGTTGCCATGACAATCACTCAAAGTTGTGCACATTGGTGTACTACAGTCAGAATCTGTATAGCCAACATTACAAATGCACACATCGGGACTTGTACACATCCCGCGACCGTTGCAATCATCCAAACCTTTACACGTAGGAATTGCACAATCGTCACCACTGTATCCACTGTCACACTCGCATACATTCGGACTAATACAATTGCCATGTCCATTACAGTCCAGTCGTCCAGTGCAGGCTGGGGACCCACAATCAAATCCTGTAAAGTCTACATTACAAAGGCATTTGTTTGGCGAAATACAAAACCCATTCCCATTGCAGTTGTGCGTGAGTTCACACAGTGGTACAGAACAATCAGACCCACTATAACCAATGTCACAGCTGCATACATTTGGTCCAACACAATTCCCATGATCATTGCAGTTATTAACATCACTACAACTCGTCTCGTCACAATTTGGACCAACGTACCCAGATCCACATGTGCAGCCTCCTACAGTTCATATAAATATGTCACGTTATTGCATTCCATGTTATGCATCGAGTAGTGTGTCCGAGTGAACTAAGTTTGTTTTATAATATTGTAAAATCAATTTTGATCTGTTTTGTATTTTTCCAAATTGTTACTTATAGGTATCGAGTTCTTTTGCGGCACAAAATGACAAAATGATATGACAATACAAAGAACAATCTATAATTGCAAATGGGAGTATTGGAAAAGGTACTTGTATTGTGCTATCTTCTTTACCCCCCTATCACACCAAACTAGTTCTTACCCGTTCTTGCCAGTCTTACGAAAACGTCGTAAAACGGGCTCAATCTGGCTGTGGTCGGAAAATATGTCTAAAATAATTAGCTTCTTCGTTCTTAAACAGTCTTCAATACGTCCATCTCGTTTGCAGTTCGTTCAGGTCGCACCACGTCGGTGTGCAACGTCGTAGAACGCGTTCCTTAGTCTAGAAGGTCAACATGACCTGATTACAGAACGGTATGGTCGCCATCGAATTTTGAATCGATTCAAAATTCTAAAATCACATTCCCGTCTGAGAACGTTCATAAAGTTCGTAAATAGACCTTAGAAAGTTGCAGGTACGTTCATTCCGTTCGCACACAGTTTCAAACCAGTTTTGAAGAACGCAGTGGCAACTTGTTTGGTGTGATAGCTATATTTTTGCTAATTCGTTCATAAGCAGTGTTAAATACGTTCTTAATCAGTTTAAACCCGTTTGCACTTAGTTCTACCTCGTTCTCAACACGTCCTCAGACAGTTCAACTCGTTTTTAAAACGTCCCTAGTAGGGTTGAAGTACGACGGTTCCGTTCGTAGTACGTCCAGCTCGTCGTTAGTACGTTGTCACTCGTTCTTATTGAAGAACGTGACGACCATGAGAATATTTTGAGCATTGTCTTAGTTCTAGAGGACCTACCCGTTCGAGTACGTTCGATGAAGTTTGTAAATAGATCCCAAACGGTTCTAAGTACGTCCAGTCCGTTCGTACACAGTTGAAGCCCGTTTTCGAGAACGTAGTGAGAACTAGTTTGGTGTGATAGTAGGGTAAGTAAACGGACAAACCATTGATCAAGTCACACGTTCCATGGTCACACTTCGGACAAGGGAGGCAAAGTGGTCCAGCGTGATTTGGTATACACTTGTCACACAATTCCCCTTCCCATAAAGCTTCGCACACACAAGCACCTAGTGTGATTTAGATCAATAAAATATATATGCATACATGTATACACACACTCTTAGTTCTGAAATGATCAATTTAACTTGATGTTATAGATTCAAAATGCTCTCTTCTCAATGAATGTGGTTTTTAGGGTACAATTATTTAAAAAGGTGTATCAGTTTAATTCCACCGGTGCACCTGTAAGATTTCCTGTCAAGAATATGTGAAGTTGCTTTCAACACATTCTCAACTTGATATTCCAGTATCATTTAAAGTGTCTTTAGAATCAACAACGGATAACAAACATGTTTTTACTAAATAAATTAAATTCCCTTGTGATTTAATTTTAAGAAGTCATTTTGGTGTTTAACCAGGGCAAAAAGAGAAGAGTACTTTATTTTGGTAATTACTACACAAAATGATATGGCCATTTCGAAGGACAGATTATGCTCCGTTGGTCTTGGACACTCCGTAAATAAACTTATAAAACTTAAGAACTGAGGAAAAAACAATAAAGTATAAATCAATTCGACAATTATTTTTGTCTCATTGTTATATATTGCATCTTATACCTGTTATTTTATCGCATCCACCATTGACACAGGCTGGACACAATTCACAATTGTCGCCCCACCTATCGGCGCCGCAGGACAAACACGTTGGCCCGCTATGACGTTCATCGCATTCACACCGATTAGGGCCGACACACTTGCCATGACCACTACAATGACGGAGTAATCTGCAATCTGGTTCGTCACATAAAGGTCCCACCCAACCTCTTTGACAAGTACAGGCACCTATCACAAATAGAATTCCGAAAGTGCTAGTACAGTCACAGTGGCAAATGAACTAGTAGAGTAGGTGGTGGGCAACAAACGTCCATATTGCAATAACTTAATAATTTTCAAAGGGGATGCAGCAATCAATCATACAAAAGATCCCAAAATGGCACAATCATATCTATACCTGTAGTGTACACTTATTGCAACTTCTCAATCCACCCAATATCTCCAATAATATTTAATCTAAGATTGACTTTCATCTAGATATTCAAACATCCAAATGAACTCACCAGTATGTGTGTTACAAGTGCCATGTGTGCATTGACACGATGTACATGATGTTCCAAATCTAGGTACGTCCCGCATACAAAGCCTACAGTCTGGTGCTAAGAACCCCTCGTCGCAACGACATTCATTCGGAGCTATGCATTCTCCATGGTTCCTGTGTGTGAGAGTACACAATTCAAGCTAAAATACTTGGAATATTTCCGCAATTTTCCTTTTCATATGATACTATATTTTGGCCGTAAGTATTTTACTGTTCGGATATAGCAAAGCACAAAATACTAAAGACATGATTAATAATCTTTGGATCCGACTTAGATTGACTTTTATACTGTATTTTCATTTGTTGTATAGTTACCACTTACCAGCACTCGTTGTATAATGAACAGGTCGGTGATTCACACCTCTCTCCTTTCCAGTTTATCTCACAAATACAGCCACCTACAGCATGTGCAGAAAATGTGTGTTATACCAACCGTCAGACCGGGATGCGTCCATACTGCGCTGCTACGATGACGGGAAAGTGACGGACGCGTCGAACGTAGTGAACTTATCGCACAGGACGCGATTTTTTTCATGTTGTAATGTGTGGGACATTTTCTTGCGATGTGTTCCCGTTTTCCGGCGACCTTTTGCATTTTCTAGTCGCCACCCAGTCTGACAAATTACTACGAGTCAATTGATAATAAGCCAAAATGTATTATGTGGCAGTGTTGGCTTGATAAACCAAACTGGATGGCGATTGTGGAAATATTTACCGCGTGATTTATGAACCAAATTGAGATGAACTGTTGCATTAATAAACCAAATTGTGGATTCGTAAACGTACCTGTTCGTAGGTCGCACCTTCCGCCATTTAGACAAACTGGGCACCTTTTACACGATGGTCCTACATAACCCTCTGCACAAAATGAACAGATCAGGCCAGCCCACCCCTCATCACATATGCACTCTCCTACAGAAACGGAATAGTTATATGATTATGTCCATTTATCCATTACCAGGACTGTATAGTTCTGTGAGATCCAGCGTACAAACTTAGTATGTATAATTTCGATTTGGTAGTTTGGACATGCCTTGCACACAGAAACGATAGAAAACGTTTTAAAAATTGATTCCAATATCACTCTCTGATTGGTCAGTTCTTGTACTGTACCAACCTGTATTGCTACTGAGATTGTCCCTTTTGATCATCTTCGGAGCAATACAGAAAATATAGGTACGGATGAGACAATCAGTAGCAATACAGAAAATTTCTTAGGGATAATCTCCTAGGTAAAATGTATTTACCTAAGACCATACAATAAAAACGTTAAAGAATGATTTGAAGTGCAATACAGTATTCTGCTCTCGATATTCTGTATTGGCACTCGACTTTGTCTCGTTCCAATGCAGAATTTCTCGAGCAGAATATATACTGTACTACAATTCAAATCATTCAATAACTTGTTGTTTTTGTGCTGCTCTTATCGTATCGTCTGTTACTATTTAATTGAAATCGAAACCATAGTTAACACGGAGGTGGTAAAAACTATATTCTGTACAAAATAGACAAATATCTGTTAAATATGCAATGTAGAGATCGTATTCACACACCGTTCTTGGGGCTGCAATGTCCATTGTTACAATTCAAACAGGGTTTACAATCGGAGCCCCAGCGATTCTCCTCGCATTCTGAACAATCGTCTTTAGTAAATCCAAAATCACATTTACAAAGGTTATCAGCTACACATGTTCCATTACCACTGCAGTCATTCAGAATACTACAGTCTGGTGGTCCTAAATATGCACGTATATGTTATATTATCATTGACATGAGTGATCTCTTATGAACACTTACTACGTCCATGCAATTACATTTTTATGACTCTGAAATATCCGTCAGATAATAAATGTGTGAACTGTGATTTTGATTCTGAACGATCTAGCATATGACCGTGAAATAATAGTTGGAATCAAAGACATTTTTGGATTTTTTAGAGAATAGACATGCCAAGGAATGAAGAAGGAATGATAGAGCCAAAAAATCTAAAATTGAAACAATTTGTGTAAAGGTTGCTTGCTTAACCTGATTCTCCTTTTAATACGCATTTTGTCTTCTATGTTTCGAGTATTGTAGTTTTCCCTGCTAGTATTTATTTGGAAGTTATGACTTACGAGCAGTAAATGTCCAAAAAGTTGGATTGAATATACCAGGTGAATCTGCGCCACATCCGACGGTACCTATCACCACACCTGGAAAAGTACCACATTCTATACACATGTACATGATATAGGCTTGTATGAAATAGACCTTGTGTTATCTTTGAACTATATGATAGTAAATAGTAATTTACCCAATTCTATGTATAATGATAACAACGTCCTTGTATGCTTGGGAACATACAACTTTAAAATTTTTTCAGACGTTTCCAACCGTAGCTACACAAAATCGATACAGAAAATCCCCATCGTATTGCTTATTCCTATATATTTATGCTGCATATTTCTTTCGATTTTGTAAAGTTACGGCCCTCGTATGGTTGCCGTTATCATGAGAAACCACCCTTATAAAAAATTCAACCTTGAAAGTCCGAATTTAAACCGTTGCACAATCATTGTACAATCATTGATCCGATCATTTATGCAACCATGCCAACCGTTACAATGCAACCATTACAATTTTGGTTGTAAACTCATTGAAAATGTTTCAATCATATGTAACCATTGTGAACGCTTCACAATTTTGATTGAATTTCTTGCAACCGTTTCAATCGAATGCAACCCTTTAAACCTATGGCAATATTATCTCAATACAACATAAAATAATTATATTGCTCTTTAAAATATATATTTCAAATGTATGTATTTCATGCATACATGTCAGAATTTAATTTTTTTGATCAAAAAGATATTTAAAATATTGAAATAGTTTAGTAAACTTATCTTGTGAATGAAAATATATTGAACCAATTTCCATCTAACCTTGAAGGATGGTGATTGTCCCACTCACATATATATTATCTAGATAACAGCAATGCTAAGGCATAGCAAATCCCCTCGCTGTCATGACAATCATTTTTACAAAATCCCTTCACTACTTTTTAAGTTATTGCAAAAACATTTGAAATAATTTTGATTGGGTCAAGTCTTGAATTTTACAAATTCAGACACCTATACTTCACCTTCACCTGAGTAATTGTCACAATTATAAAGGAGGGAAAATCTGTCTGGAAGGAAGAAATCCTTCAATCAGAAAATAATCTGTTTATTGATTTGATATTTTTGATTTGATAGAGAAAATGCAATCAGACAGTAAAGGATGTGTTTTAAATAATTAAGTCAATAAGCATAACTTAAAAAATTCTGATTACAGAAAGACTCAGTCTCTTTAGTTTGATTAGAGTCTGCTTTGAAGGATGTGTCTAAAGAAACTTTATTAATCCATTAATCCATAAACAAAACAAAAGTAATTCGGCAAGGCAAAACAAACCTTATAACAGAGAGACTCTCAGTTTGATTAGAGTCTGCTATAAAGGAAGCATCCTATGTAATTTAATTATTCCATACACAGAACATGATAAATAATTTGCCAAAGAAAATTTCCCATATTTTCCTCCAGATTTTTTCAAGTTGAGAGTTTTGAAAAATAAGCCCTGTTTTTTTTGTTGTTTTTAATCATTGACACATATTATTTAAACTGAAAACAAGTTTCAGTACAAATGCTATGCCCTAGTGAATACAGTAAAGCCATGAACTTTCAATTTATTGAATGCCCATGGTAAAAAAACTAAATAAAAATGAAATAAAAAATTCAGAAAATAGTATTTGCAGTTTCATATACTTGCTATTTGAGATTTCTCAGCACTTATTAAAGTAATTGAATAAAGAAATAAACCCTCAAAAATCTGAAAACGCTTTTCAAATTTTTGCCCCCCCCCCCCCCCCTCTGCATGAAATAGAGAATAAAAAAATATATATAGTATAACACAATATGAAAATAAATATAACAGAAACTAGGAATATGAACCCTATTTCTGGTCAAGCATTTTAATTAGCTGTTCAACCGTTTTATATAGCTGTTCAACCGTTTTAATTAGCTGTTCAACCGTTTTAATTGGCTGTTCAAGCATTCTGATTTGCCTAAACCCATGAGAATATCAATATGTAGTAGGTATTGTTTGATCATCAGTCATGAACAAAAACCATTGTGTCTCATCTTGTGATTTTGTTAAGTTTAAAGGAAATCTTAAGATGTTCCTTGGTCAATTTCTTAACCAAATTGGAATTTTGCTCAATTCTTTTCATAATTAACATCATTTTGGCAATATCTGATAAAGGGAAATAAATACTAAATATGGTACTTTTAATTTGTGTAAATAATGTAAATGACAGAGAACATAAATTATCATATGCCATTGAGTGGAAAACTAGTCTGGTATCGCATTCCTAAATTCATACTGGAGAAAGAAACATATTAACATGAATTAAGTTATTTACTATAATAAACATGCATGTATGCTTGCAGAAAAAATATCCTAATATACTATTGTTTAATAGAGGTAGATTCAAATCCTTACTTAAAGATAATTTTAATTCAGGTAAAATGATAATTTTTTGGAACGATACTAATTCAGGATGGTTGCAGGGGTTGAACTATGTAATCATTGAACAAAACAAATTGCAACCATTTACATTTCAATGTGAAATGGTTGCAGTTTACGATGGTTTCAGATTACAATGATTGTATAGAAACGGTTGCGCATTCATTGAAAAAGAGTTGACTTCGCTTGGTTGAACACAATGGTTGCACAATGATTGCTTATCATCGTACAATGGTTTTTCCTTTGATCTTGGTAGTTGAAACAATCATTATTCAATGATTGGTGGAAACGGTTTAAATTCGGACTTTCAAGGTTGATTTTTTTTATAAGGGCATGGCCTTCTGAGATACCGACGCATAGATTCCTCAAATTGTCAAAATTGCTGCAAAGGGACATGTAGCCGAAAGCAAAACCTTTTCTAGCGTTATATTCTTACCGTGGTCGAGCGTTATATAATAGTTATATCCTCTTCGCCACTGATACGTTGTGTTGAATCTCAGTTCTCTAATTGTACGTCTATTGTCTGCCTCTGATGGCCATTGTACCAACTCGGAGCTGCGGGTGTCGATCTGATACACCTCTCGATATACACCTTCAGATCTGCTCTCAAAGAATCGAATGAAGGCTCTGTGCCGTCTTGGTTTAACAAACTGATATATTGAATGATTAAGAGTTAGTTGGATCGTTGTCGAGAAAAATTCTATTGTTACTATTTTATATGAATACATTCAAAGGTACTTGATAAATCAGTGAATGTTGGCGGCATCTTAACTAATTTCTAATTTATTTAGTTATTTTTATAATATTAATATTATATGATATTTACTGGTCTGTTGACTCGTATGGAGAACTGATTGTGCCATTCTTGAATGATACTCCCATTCGGGGGGCTCTCAGTACCTTCCACAAACTCAGGTGGCGCAGTTCCTACCAAAAATGTAATACACCTTTGGCCAGATGATAAACTAAAATACAATAATATAGTCAGCAAATTACAAGAGACATAACAAATATATCACACGAAGGCAAACTTAACATTTTCTTGCTGTTTGGTCACATGAAATGGTATGCTGGGGATTCCTTACAACGTCATGAGATTACAGGGTGTCAAATAAAAATGTTCTCCCCTTGATTTCAAGAGTATGAAATATTGTGCATAAAAATGCACCTCAAATGAACTAGTCATCTGAAACCTCTTGTAGAAATGCTCGATGATGCCTGGTTAAGGTGCTAAGAACAATTCAGACATAATACAGGCAAATTAGTTATGCAACCGTGGATGTTAAAGTTGAGGGGGAAAAATATTTATTTGACACCCTGTATATATCAACAAGTAAATTGTAGTCTTTGGATTTTAGACATACCCTATATTGTCAATTGCATTGAAACAAAATATATTCGGCCCTGCTTGGCTCCGTTCGGGTGTCCATGTTATGTTAATGTAGTATTCACCTGGTCCACGTTGCAAAACCTCCGACTTCTCAAGTCCTTGTGGTGAAACTGTGTCGATGTCAGTTATTCTAAAATCATTGATTTAAACTCGTACTTTAAAATAAGAATTTACAAGTTTACTTTGGCGTAATATATTGCCACATTACAAGCATTTAATTTTGTATTTTGTTCTGCCGTTAGTTATGGTCTCATTGAACTTAAACTTGTACGTCCCATGTATGACCGTTGTCTCCAATTATGGTCTCGAAATATTCCATTTTCTTACCCTTGTCATTAGTAAGGTCGCACTTAACTCAGTTGTCTTTAAGCTTGTGTTAAACAGTAATATGTCAATTGTTAACATAACATTCCTCTGGCATTGCCTGTATTAAAAGTGATTTGCTAATTGGTAACTTACATTCCTCTAGCATTGCCTGTATTAACAGTGCTTTGCTAATTGGTAACTTACATTCCTCTAGCATTGCCTGCATTAACAGTGCTTTGCTAATTGGTAACTTACATTCCTCTAGCATTGCCTGTATTAACAGTGCTTTGTTAATTGGTAACTTACATTCCTCTAGCATTGCCTGTATTAACAGTGCTTTGCTAATTGGTAACTTACATTCCTCTAGCATTGCCTGTGTGAATAGTGATTTGCTTATTGTTAACTTACATTCCTCTAGCATTACCTGTATTAACAGTGACTTGCTAATTGGTAACTTATATTCCTCTAGCATTACCTGTATTAACAGTGATTGCTAATTGGTAACTTACATTACTCTAGCATTGCCGGTATTAATAGTGATTTGCTAATTGTTAACTTACATTCCTCTAGCATTGCCTGTATTAACAGTGATTTGCTAATTGGTAACTTACATTCCTCTAGCATTGCTTGTATTAACAGTGATTTGCTAATTGGTAACTTATATTCCTCTAGCATTGCCTGTATTAACAGTGATTTGCTAATTGGTAACTTATATTCCTCTAGCATTGCCTGTATTAACAGTGATTTGCTAATTGGTAACTTACATTCCTCTAGCATTGCTTGTATTAACAGTGATTTGCTAATTGGTAACTTATATTCCTCTAGCATTGCCTGTATTAACAGTGATTTGCTAATTGGTAACTTACATTCCTCTAGCATTGTCTGTATTAACAGTGATTTGCTAATTGGTAACTTATATTCCTCTAGCATTGCCTGTATTAACAGTGATTTGCTAATTGGTAACTTATATTCCTCTAGCATTGCCTGTATTAACAGTGATTTGTTAATTGATAACTTATATTCTTCTAGCATTGCCTTATTAACAGTGCTTTGCTAATTGGTAACTTACATTCCTCTAGCATTGCCTGTGTTAACAGTGATTTGCTAATTGGTAACTTACATTCCTCTAGCATTGCAAGTATTAACAGTGATTTGCTAATTGGTAACTTTCATTCCTCTAGCATTGCCTCTATTGACAGTGATTTGCTAATTGGTAACTTACATTCCTCTAGCATTGCCTGTATTAACAGTGATAGGCTTATTGTTTACTTACATTCCTCTGGCATTGCCTGTATTAACAGTGATAGGCTCGACGAAAGATTGTGTGACACCAACACACGCACCTGTAAAGAAATATATTCTGTATATTTGCAAAAATAAAAAAGCGACGAAATTAACCAATTGGTCTGCCTATTAGTCTGTCTTTCTAGCTGTCTTCTCCAAGAATATTAAATTTACGTTCACCAAATGTGATACCAAAAGTGGCTCTAACGTAAGGGAAATCAAGGAGGCCAAGTCACTTCAATATGAATCAACATAATTCAAAGTGTTCTTCATTAATAGATTACCTTCATTTCGCGTAGTTGTCGAAAAGGTTGGTGCACTTGAACAACCAGCATCTGAGTTAAATACAAGTAGCAGGAATTGTACGGGAACACTACTGAGTGGTGTCGTAGAGGAAACATCGTCGAAATCTTCGATCATGATGGCTGCGGCGTAAAATCCGGTCTCTAGTCTTCCACTTATCCTCAATGAGCAATCCATCTTAATAATTAAATGAGTTTAGTTTAAAACACAATTGATATGCTTTACACTACCAGCTGTTTCATTTCGATGCTGCCCATTGCTATTTCAAATTGAAAATTGGATATACAATAACTTTTATAAACTTGAATGGTAATTGATTTGACATTGTTGTAGTTTCAATGTCCATCTTCTAACTTGTTTTAATACGTTTTGGGAGATTTACCGTTTTTATTGAATTATTTCATGAGCTTTCATGCAAACAATTCTGTAAAACTGCCAAAAACGCCACTTTTTATAGTAATAATATAATATAACAAGTCCTTCAACTTGAATTAAATTTGATCTAAAAGAGGAGTTCAATTGGTCCGCCGCCTTATTTAATGATATATTTTAGTTTTAGTCGCCTTGCTGATATAGCAGTATTAATGAAATGTTAGCTAAGTTTTTTTCAACCTGTTTTAATTGCCAGCTTTAGTAGAGCAATTTTCTAGATTGGGTGCCTTCATACAATCTCCTGGAGACCTTCCAAAACCTTATACTCACTGGGGTTTGCATCAGGGCTATTAGCTTAGCGATCATCATGTCGTATCAGTTCAGGAACATTTTGCAAATTATGCTTATTTCTCATGGCACACCACATGTTTAAGTGAGACGCTGGTGACATATTTTATTCAAGTAAAAGTGTATAATTCAGGATCCATGGCTAGATAACAACCCCAAGTTTCATTTGGTATGCAAATTATGATTTTGTATCAAAAATTAAAAAAGTTACAGCATTTTGAAAAAAAGTGGCGTTTTTTGGCCCACCCTGTATATGGTATTCCATATATGTAATATCTAATATAAATGGACTAAACAGCAATCAAAAAATATTAGTTGGATTAGTTATCTTCCTTGGGGTATAAATAGAAGTCACTCACATAGTCTAATTGAGCTATAGCGTTGGCGCTGTTACACACACCAGCACATTCAAATCGTTCAAACTCTGCCCACCGACATCTTATATCATCTCCATCTACATCGTCAACTATAACAATGGCAACCAATAACACGTTGTGAGATCACAATTCCTTAACATGAGTTTTTTTATTATGAACCCCTATCGAGAATAGTGGTCCATGGTTTGATATTTTCGAACAATTTTAAACATTTTACTAAAGCTCAAAAACTTGATGTACATGCACATGTCATTTCCTATTTGAGTTAAGTATGACAAAGCTTTACTTCGGAGAGATCTCAATAAGAACATAAAACATATATACATGTACGTTATAAGCAGCCGGAAATGTTTATAATACTAAAAATTGTAAATAAATGACCAATACATACCTGGAATGCTGAGTTTATGATTACATCCATTTTGTAAGCGAACGATAGGAAGCACTGCTGTTGTTGGGGAAGAATTTATTCGACCTGTATCAGCTCTAATGTATATTCCCATAAACAATCGAATCTCATATTCACCGCCCCCTTTGACAAGTGCGATCCAGTTTCTACCACGGTGACTGGAAAAGATAATACCACATTTGTATCACTATCAAGTCTTTTTTATCTCAATTGCTGACACTTTGATATTAGATAAAAAGTTTAAAAAAAATTACATTCGTCCAATGGGAAACTGTAAAAAATAAATCAAATGACGGATGAATTTTCAAATTTGTTCGTGAGTTTCAGAGATTTTGTCTTATTATCGTCCTGACGCAATATTAGAGAATTTAAATAAGCTTCAGATTTATGAAGAACTGTGCGTTAATATTCATACCTTATTTCGGCTGTGGGTCCTTTGAAGAACTTTTGGAATGTTTTGATGCCCTGTGTCCAGTCTTCACGTTGACTGAAATCAGTACATTGGAACTTGACATTGCTGATAGTACCTCTACACCCTCGCTTACATTCTGCAATGGAATAGGACTGAAATCAGTACATTGGAACTTGACATTGCTGATAGTACCTCTACACCCTCGCTTACATTCTGCAATGGAATAGGACTGAAATCAGTACATTGGAACTTGATATTGCTGATGGTACCTCTACACCCTCGCTTACATTCTGCAATGGAATAGGACTGAAATCAGTACATTGAACTTGACATTACTGATGGTACCTCTACACCCTCGCTTACATTCTGCAATGGTATAGGACTGAAATCAGTACATTGACCTTGACATTACTGATAGTACCTCTACACCCTCGCTTACATTCTGCAATGGAATAGGACTGAAATCAGTACATTGACCTTGACATTGCTGATAGTACCTCTACACCCTCGCTTACATTCTGCAATGGAATAGGACTGAAATCAGTACATTGGAACTTGACATTGCTGATAGTACCTCTACACCCTCGCTTACATTCTGCAATGGAATAGGACTGAAATCAGTACATTGAACTTGACATTGCTGATGGTACCTCTACACCCTCGCTTACATTCTGCAATGGTATAGGACTGAAATCAGTACATTGACCTTGACATTGCTGATGGTACCTCTACACCCTCGCTTACATTCTGCAATGAAAATAGGACTGAAATCAGTACATTGGAACTTGACATTGCTGATAGTACCTCTACACCCTCGCTTACATTCTGCAATGGAATAGGACTGAAATCAGTACATTGGAACTTGACATTGCTGATAGCACCTCTACACCCTCGCTTACATTCTGCAATGGAATAGGACTGAATTCAGTACATTGGAACTTGACATTGCTGATGGTACCTCTACACCCTCGTTTACATTCTGTAATGGAATAGGACTGAAATCAGTACATTGGAACTTGACATTGCTGATAGTACCTCTACACCCTCGTTTACATTCTGCAATGGAATAGGACTGAAATCAGTACATTGGAACTTGACATTGCTGATAGCACCTCTACACCCTCGCTTACATTCTGCAATGGAATAGGACTGAAATCAGTACATTGAACTTGACATTGCTGATGGTACCTCAACACCCTCGCTTAACTTCTGCAATGGAATAGGACTGAAATCAGTACATTGGAACTTGACATTGCTGATAGTACCTCTACACCCTCGCTTACATTCTGCAATGGAATAGGACTGAATTCAGTAGATTGGAACTTGACATTACCGATAGTACCCCTACACCCTCGCATACATTCTGCAATGGAATAGGACTGAAATCAGTACATTAGAACTTGACATTGCTGATGGTACCTCTACACCCTCGCTTACATTCTGCAATGGAATAGGACTGAAATCAGTACATTGAACTTGACATTGCTGATGGTACCTCAACACCCTCGCTTACATTCTGCAATGGAATAGGACTGAAATCAGTACATTGGAACTTGACATTGCTGATAGTACCTCTACACCCTCGCTTACATTCTGCAATGGAATAGGACTGAAATCAGTACATTGGAACTTAACATTGCTGATGGTTCCTCTACATCCTCGCTTACATTCTGCAATGGAATAGGACTGAAATCAGTACATTGGAACTTGACATTGCTGATAGTACCTCTACACCCTCGCTTACATTCTGCAATGGAATAGGACTGAAATCAGTACATGGAACTTGACATTGCTGATAGCACCTCTACACCCTCGTTTACATTCTGCAATGGAATAGGACTGAAATCAGTACATTGGAACTTGACATTGCTGATAGCACCTCTACACCCTCGCTTACATTCTGCAATGGAATAGGACTGAATTCAGTAGATTGGAACTTGACATTGCTGATAGTACCTCTACACCCTCGCTTACATTCTGCAATGGAATAGGACTGAAATCAGTACATGGAACTTGACATTGCTGATAGCACCTCTACACCCTCGTTTACATTCTGCAATGGAATAGGACTGAAATCAGTACATTGGAACTTGACATTGCTGATAGTACCTCTACACCCTCGCTTACATTCTGCAATGGAATAGGACTGAAATCAGTACATGGAACTTGACATTGCTGATAGTACCTCTACACCCTCGCTTACATTCTGCAATGGAATAGGACTGAAATCAGTACATTGGAACTTGACATTGCTGATAGTACCTCTACACCCTCGCTTACATTCTGCAATGGAATAGGACTGAAATCAGTACATGGAACTTGACATTGCTGATAGCACCTCTACACCCTCGTTTACATTCTGCAATGGAATAGGACTGAAATCAGTACATTGGAACTTGACATTGCTGATAGCACCTCTACACCCTCGCTTACATTCTGCAATGGAATAGGACTGAATTCAGTAGATTGGAACTTGACATTGCTGATAGTACCTCTACACCCTCGCTTACATTCTGCAATGGAATAGGACTGAAATCAGTACATGGAACTTGACATTGCTGATAGTACCTCTACACCCTCGCTTACATTCTACAATTGAATAGGACTGAAATCAGTACATTGGAACTTGACATTGCTGATAGTACCTCTACACCCTCGCTTACATTCTACAATTGAATAGGACTGAAATCAGTACATTGGAACTTGACATTGCTGATAGTACCTCTACACCCTCGCTTACATTCTCTTTTGTTCAAACAAAATAAAATAAATGACATACCTTTATAATTTTAAAGATTTGAAAATGTCTTTACTATTTAAAATCTGTATTCCGCCTCATTTTGTCTTATCAACTTATATTATATATCATAAACTTAGCAGCAATTACCCGTTCTCGTGCCCTGTGTTCCTGTTCCTGAGTATTGATATTTTTACATTTTTGAAATGATTTCCAACAGACTTGGGCCAGTGTCATTATCAGGTATTTCTTCACTTCATTTCTATTTGTCTTACCTGTTGGCGTCACTGACCCATTTCTGTCCAGTTAAAACCAACATTTATGCTCTTGAGAGCGTCATGTTGTATTGAATATCATGTATGTTTTTCAAAATAGTAATAAATATCTGAATCTGAAAATCTGAACGAAGTAACTAATTATTTTAGACATATTTCCCGACCACAGCCAGATTTAGCCTTTTTCATAGGACTGGAAAGAACGGTTGAGAGCTAGTTTGGTGTGATAGGGGGTTATTGAGCCTCGTAATTACCTATAATACCACTAGGCCCCGTTATTACTCTGGATGTTATTGTGTTTTTGTCACAACGTGTCCCTTCGTCTGTCGATCCCCTTACAGCATATCGATAAGTAATCAACATCTGGAAGACAATTGCCACGTTTCTAGACAAATACATATATGCATCTTGGTAAATTATATTTGATGTAACTTTACTTTAGGGTGTACATCACTGGGTAAAATTAGTAAATCAAAAACGCAAACATTTTCAGATGTCGTTCCAAAAGCGATCTATTTTTCAATTTTTAGTGATGCTAAAGAATCACACAATTCATATTATTTTCAGAGTTATGGACATTCTATATTTCATGAATCACAAAACCAACGGGTTCTAAGTAAGCTTAAAAATAGACGAAGTATTTTAGTTGGCACAATCTGAAATGGTAAATCGTGACACTTCATTTTGCACCATTAAAGTGGTTGATACAAACCTTCTTTCCTGAAAATAATAATATTCTAGCTTGAAAAATTAAGCAATTAATAAACAACATGAAAGCTAATTCCATGCTTTCACATTTTTCAATTGTAAGGGGTAATTAATTAAATCAATAAAAGCGTGTTTTAAGGGTTTAAAATTAAATATCTAGATGTCTAAACGAATATTTGCATGTCACAAGGATATATCTCTGACATATATTGTACACAAACTTAAACGTGTAAAAGCTTGCACTATCGTTGAAGTATTGAAACGTATATTTTAGGTGTTTTTGTTTAATGTTTATAAACATATAAAACAAAAAAACATTAAATTAAAACGTACACCTTTTTGCGACATCAGTTCCTTATAAGCTTATTCCTTATTATAAATCCTCAGATATACAGAGATTGCCACCTAAACTATTATGATTTTGATTTTAGTAACTTTGATTTGAAGTTCATTTAAGGCGGATCATATTATGTTTCATCATAGAACGTCCAAACTTTACATATGTAATTTAGGACATGATAATTCCAAATATCAGTCTCTTTGAATATAAGCATGCCCTTATTGCTAATAACAACCTGATTTATGAGATTGAAGCCATTGTTGTTTTCATGTTTCTATATTCTCAATGTTACTTGATTTATTATCACCGATATTTATGGTTGTGCACTTTTGAAATTCGATTTGTAATAAATCTATTTCTGGTATAACCTTTTATGAGAATTGGAAATGTTTTTCCAATGCTTAGAATTCGATTTTTATCTCCTTGTGTTGACTTTAAATCGGTATGAGGATTAAAAAAGCTTTAGACAATGTAGTTAATAATTCTCCTGTATTGACATTTTCTCAGTCAAATAAATCCGACAATATATAGAAAGACAATATATGTATTAAGGTTGTTCTTTTGAATTTAACTCCAATCTGTATCAGAATATGAAAAATGTAGACACTCAGTCTCAAAATATTTTTTTCAAAAAAACTCATTTCCAAAACTGAATTTGAAGCTCTGTAACTTTCGTGTTAATAAAGTAAACGAGACACTTAGCATGCAAAACGTTAGACAAATTACTTTTCTATATTAGAATAATTTTTGGTTAATGTTTTCTTGATTAGATATCCTGAAATCTGATTTGCCCCGAACCCACCATTTCCCACTGGTTTAAATTGGAATGACGATTTTCAAAAATCCATCATATTTGTCAATTTTCGACCTATTCTAATTGAGGTATTGGAAGTAAAGTCAAGTAACATCCCCGCCTTCATTATCATGTATTTCATTGCAGCCTTTAACAATAAAAATATATTCATAGAAGGGGGTTTTATACGTAAACCCATGGGGGAAAAGGTTGCCATTGTTGTTTGATGGACTTGCTCTGATGCAATAAGATCATTTTCCAGATTTTTCTAACTTTGTCAATTATGTCAAGTCCTGATCCATGAGCAAATTATTCTTGCCTAAACAGGGGATTGCATTCGAGACAACTGCTTCAGGGGAAAACTTCTCTGTCATCGATGCGATTGTATAGTCAGGATGTTGTAGCGATAGCGATTCGTTATCTATTAATTATAATTTCAAGAAACGTTTGAAAATAGACTACTAGATATAATTACCGTCCCATGTGGCATTTCTGGACCTGCTGGTTTATATGTCATTAACATCCCGCGGAAATGTGTCCCATCAACCGATCTCATCATAATTAAAACAAACAGTATCCATATAATACGTGTCCATCGTGCACTCATTGTTATACTTAACCATATCCATATTACACGTGCCCATCGTACACTCATGTTAAGACTTATTCACTGACGAGAACTAATCAAGTTTAAGTCTAACATCTATCGGCATATCTTTTTCATAAGCCACTTGGTTATTTAATGTATTTGAATATACCGAACTATTCCAAACAATCCAGTGCTAAACTGTATCCCAAATCAATTTTGTTTGTTCCTATGATTCCAATCGATTTTTAAAAACAACCTTATATTTGTGAGTAGAGTTGAACTTTAATTACTTGTTTTGCTGAGTTTCGCATGATTAACAGTCTTAACAGGATGTTGACCTGAACCATTATTCTAAGGGATTCGGGTCTTTAGACTAAAAACACCTGTAATAATGACCTAGCTCTTTACCCCCCTATCACACCAAACTAGTTTTTACCCGTTCTTGCCAGTCCTACGAAAACGTCGTAAAACGGGCTCAATCTGGCTGTGGTCGGGAAATATGTCTAAAATAATTAGGTACTTCGTTCATAAACAGTCTTCAATACGTCCATCACATTCGCAGTTCGTTCAGATCGCACCAGGTCGGTGTGCAACGTCGTATAACGCGTCCCTTAGTCTAGAAGGTCATCATGACCTGATCACAGAACGGTATGGTCGCCATCGAATTTTGAATCAATTCAAAATTCTAAAATCACCTTCCCGTCTGAGAACGTTCATGAAGTACGTAAATAGACCTTAGAAAGTTGCAGCTACGTTCATTCCGTTCGCACACAGTTTAAAACCAGTTTTGAAGAACGCAGTGGCAACTTAATTGTTTGGTGTGATAGCTATATTTTTGCTAACTCGTTCATAAGCAGTCTTAAATACGTTCTTAAACAGTTTAAACCCGTTTACAATTAGTTCTACCTCGTTCTCAATACGTCCTCAGACAGTTCAACTCGTTGTGAAAACGTCCCTAGTAGGATTGAAGTACGACGGTTCCGTTCGTAGTACGTCCAGCTCGTCGTTAGTACGTTGTCACTCGTTCTAATTGTGGAACGTATCGACCACGAGAAGATTTTGAGCATGTTCTAAGTTCTAGGGGACCTACCCGTTCGAGTACGTTCGATGAAGTTTGTAAATAGACCTCAAACGGTTCTAAGTATGTCCAGTCCGTTCGTACACAGTTGAAGCCCGTTTTCGAGAACGTAGTGAAAACTAGTTTGGTGTGATAGTAGGGTAAATTCCAGAACGTTTCGAATCAAAACAAAAATTGTTTTGTAGCGCTTCATTTCATTCTTATAACAGTTAATAACGAATCCAGATGGGATTTTTTCTGGAATTTAAAATATAACGTTTGTGTATAGAAGTTTTTGTGATTTCATCAACAGTTTACGGTTAAATATGGAAATCATAGTTTTGTCGCTTAAATTAATCAATGCATCAAATAACGCATCAAAATTCTTGATAACGCCATGCCGAATCTTGGCAGCTTATCATGGAAAAAAACAATCCACAAACTGCAACTATATTTTTAGGTCTAAAATCAGGTCTAAATTCAAATTCTGTTAACATTGAAAATGTTCGTTAATGGATCCGAAGGTAAGTATGGGCCACCCTCAAACAAAAGAAATGGAAGTCGTTGACACCTAAAGTACTGATTTTGCCTCATCGTGAAACAGTATTATGCTAAGAATGTTAATTACAGAATTATATACTTCGTTCATAAACAGTCTTCAATACGTCCATCTCATTCGCAGTTCGTTCAGATCGCACCAGGTCGGTGTGCAACGTCGTATAACGCGTCCCTTAGTCTAGAAGGTCATCATGACCTGATCACAGAACGGTATGGTCGCCATCGAATTTTGAATCGATTCAAAATTCTAAAATCACCTTCCCGTCTGAGAACGTTCATGAAGTACGTAAATAGACCTTAGAAAGTTGCAGCTACGTTCATTCCGTTCGCACACAGTTTAAAACCAGTTTTGAAGAACGCAGTGGCAACTTAATTGTTTGGTGTGATAGCTATATTTTTGCTAACTCGTTCATAAGCAGTCTTAAATACGTTCTTAAACAGTTTAAACCCGTTTACAATTAGTTCTACCTCGTGCTCAATACGTCCTCAGACAGTTCAACTCGTTGTGAAAACGTCCCTAGTAGGATTGAAGTACGACGGTTCCGTTCGTAGTACGTCCAGCTCGTCGTTAGTACGTTGTCACTCGTTCTAATTGTGGAACGTATCGACCACGAGAAGATTTTGAGCATGTTCTAAGTTCTAGGGGACCTACCCGTTCGAGTACGTTCGATGAAGTTTGTAAATAGACCTCAAACGGTTCTAAGTATGTCCAGTCCGTTCGTACACAGTTGAAGCCCGTTTTCGAGAACGTAGTGAAAACTAGTTTGGTGTGATAGTAGGGTAAATTCCAGAACGTTTCGAATCAAAACAAAAATTGTTTTGTAGCGCTTCATTTCATTCTTATAACAGTTAATAACGAATCCAGATGGGATTTTTTCTGGAATTTAAAATATAACGTTTGTGTATAGAAGTTTTTGTGATTTCATCAACAGTTTACGGTTAAATATGGAAATCATAGTTTTGTCGCTTAAATTAATCAATGCATCAAATAACGCATCAAAATTCTTGATAACGCCATGCCGAATCTTGGCAGCTTATCATGGAAAAAAACAATCCACAAACTGCAACTATATTTTTAGGTCTAAAATCAGGTCTAAATTCAAATTCTGTTAACATTGAAAATGTTCGTTAATGGATCCGAAGGTAAGTATGGGCCACCCTCAAACAAAAGAAATGGAAGTCGTTGACACCTAAAGTACTGATTTTGCCTCATCGTGAAACAGTATTATGCTAAGAATGTTAATTACAGAATTATATACTTCGTTCATAAACAGTCTTCAATACGTCCATCTCATTCGCAGTTCGTTCAGATCGCACCAGGTCGGTGTGCAACGTCGTATAACGCGTCCCTTAGTCTAGAAGGTCATCATGACCTGATCACAGAACGGTATGGTCGCCATCGAATTTTGAATCGATTCAAAATTCTAAAATCACCTTCCCGTCTGAGAACGTTCATGAAGTACGTAAATAGACCTTAGAAAGTTGCAGCTACGTTCATTCCGTTCGCACACAGTTTAAAACCAGTTTTGAAGAACGCAGTGGCAACTTAATTGTTTGGTGTGATAGCTATATTTTTGCTAACTCGTTCATAAGCAGTCTTAAATACGTTCTTAAACAGTTTAAACCCGTTTACAATTAGTTCTACCTCGTGCTCAATACGTCCTCAGACAGTTCAACTCGTTGTGAAAACGTCCCTAGTAGGATTGAAGTACGACGGTTCCGTTCGTAGTACGTCCAGCTCGTCGTTAGTACGTTGTCACTCGTTCTAATTGTGGAACGTATCGACCACGAGAAGATTTTGAGCATGTTCTAAGTTCTAGGGGACCTACCCGTTCGAGTACGTTCGATGAAGTTTGTAAATAGACCTCAAACGGTTCTAAGTATGTCCAGTCCGTTCGTACACAGTTGAAGCCCGTTTTCGAGAACGTAGTGAAAACTAGTTTGGTGTGATAGTAGGGTAAATTCCAGAACGTTTCGAATCAAAACAAAAATTGTTTTGTAGCGCTTCATTTCATTCTTATAACAGTTAATAACGAATCCAGATGGGATTTTTTCTGGAATTTAAAATATAACGTTTGTGTATAGAAGTTTTTGTGATTTCATCAACAGTTTACGGTTAAATATGGAAATCATAGTTTTGTCGCTTAAATTAATCAATGCATCAAATAACGCATCAAAATTCTTGATAACGCCATGCCGAATTTTGGCAGCTTATCATGGAAAAAAAACAATCCACAAACTGCAACTATATTTTTAGGTCTAAAATCAGGTCTAAATTCAAATTCTGTTAACATTGAAAATGTTCGTTAATGGATCCGAAGGTAAGTATGGGCCACCCTCAAACAAAAGAAATGGAAGTCGTTGACACCTAAAGTACTGATTTTGCCTCATCGTGAAACAATATTATGCTAAGAATGTTAATTACAGAATTATATACTCTTTAATATTTTTTATTACGACCTCAATACTAAAATCTCGAAATATATATTTATGAGCGACTCGGTGTTAATTTAGACTTAAAACCAAGGCATCGCGAGTAGGAGAATCAGAGTTCACTTGTCAAATGTTTTTGTCGTTCAGATTTCTCTAATAAAGTTAATGATATTTTTTGCAGAGGATCTCCGCTTTGAGAAAATCGTTGAATGCTTTTTAATTTACATTTGATTAGTTCTGCTGCGGCCTAATACAGGTGGAAAAACAGAATACAATGCCGAAGTATTGAACAGAGATTGAATATCAGACTATTACAAATATCAAAGGTGCAATTCTTTAATAATTAAATAAGCTTCTCAAGCTGTTTGTCGAAGAAGATGACACTCAACTTGTTGTCAGTTCTACTTATTCTTCGCACGATTTCTTACTTTTCATTTTATGAGATAGGTTGCATATAATACATTGTCCTTAATGTACTGTAGAGGTCATTCATTTTGTCAAAGTGTACGATATTTGATGTTTCAAAAAGTTAAAGCGAATAGCCAAATGTTTCTACCAAGAACTAAAAAATTGTGAGGCAGGGGCTTTGCCTTTAATCTCTTTATTACCTGATGCCAACAACAAAACTCCAAATATGATTTCAATTACAATTTGTTTGTCATCCTTTCTTTATACTTATATCGGTTGGGTTTCTGAAATGAAAAGTCATTACTATTTTACTTTTACGATAGTGGAAATGGAATGCGCATTTGAAATGTTTTCTAAAGAAAGTGCAAAATATCAGCTACATGAAAGTGAGACAGACTCTGCTCAAGTACTGTAAGAAAACCCAATGGCCACCCTTCGATCAACTTCTACTTAGCGGTCTGGTATATCTTCTTATTGCGTTAGTACACATGTCCTAAGTCTCAAACTGCACTCATAATTATATATTTTTACAATATATACAATATTTTTCCAAGCGCACTAGCCTTGCCCCAAGTCGGTCTCTTTTACTTATCTTGATTTCTATTATGACCGGTAATAATTCAAGATCAGATAAAGTAAAAAATACCGACTTGGGGCAAGGCTACAAGCGCACGTGCCAACGGAAAATTAGCAAAAAATGGTTACAGAACACAGCAAGAAAAATGAAAAAATCTATGAGTACACCAGTCACAAGGAAAATAAACCCAAACTATCCCGTATCATAATCCAAACTGAAAAGAAACAGGGTCTAATCCCCCCTCCCCCACCATTCAAGTACCAAAATCACAATCTGAGTCCATACCAAGGGACATTTCGTCCATACTGAAGTGATAAAAATACATGTTGAAGAATACATTTAAAATTGATA